TGTTCCCTCCATCAGCTGCTACTTCATCGTTAGTCTCGACCACCGGTCACCATCCCTTTCCGTGACGTGTCCTGCCCAAGCCCACTTACTTTTCCGAACAGTTAGAATGTCTCGAAGAATTTGCGTACGTTCACAAAAATCCATGCGCTCCTCTGTCCGTCTCTCGACGCAATTCCAAAAACCACGCGTCCCTCCATGCCACGTTGTGCACTTTTTATTTTTTGCTTCAATTTGGAAACGTCTGCGTCAGATCCACAAGCCACAGCAGGCAATACGCGTCGATTATTAACGTTCTTCTCTACGCAAACACTGGCATGTTGCTTTCCACTTTGACGCATGTACCAATAGAACGGCAGACATCACGTCCGCAACGGCGGTCGCACGGCATTTCCGGCGAACCGCAATAATCCTCAACACGCAGGCCGGCGCGAGCTGCCGTTTGGGATCGTTCCTCTGGTGTGGAAGCCGATAAGAGGGCACCCCCCCTCCCCGCCCTCAGCCCTTCCATCTCGCCTCACTCTGCGAGCGATGGCTCCACGCCCACTGCCGACCTACGGAGGGACGCCCATAAACTCTGCGCCAAGTGGCATAGCGTGGTTGGCATGGGCCCTGGTGTAATGAATTAAATGCCCCCGCCCACCCCCCAAACCCCGTAAAAGTTACCCCCCCTCCCTCTTAGTAGCCCGGTGCCTGCACCCCTCCAGCCCGTGCAGTTGCACCGCCTGCACACTCGACAGCTACGCCGCCAGCCAGCCATGTTCCGCCACTTCTTGGCGCCTTGGATGGCAGATTTGTGCCAGCGAAGCGCCACAGATTAATTAAAAATCTAAATTGAATTGACTTGACTCGTCCCTTGCAGAGCATCAGGTACCAGGGTTCAGCGTGAATATTGCAGGGTGCTATTCCACGATGCCTTTGCCAACCCGTCCTGAGCGGCGTGGTGACGTATGGTCAAACAACCCTCTCGACCGACCCGGCAAGCATGGGGAGCAGTAGATTGACAAGGGGCTGGGATTTACTAATAAAACAACAAAACGATTCCAGAGTGCGACTGCATTTGCGCGATAACATGCGATGCGTGGGAAACTTGTGACGGTAAGGAAACATCTAAAACGGAGACCACGCTGTTATATAACGCACACGCATGTAAATGTTCCCGCAGGAGTGCACGCAAATTACATAGGCACAGGTTAGCGTTTTGGCTACGTAGGGTGGGAAAGAAGTTCAAGACACAAACATAAAGCTGAACAGCTACAAAGTCTCTGGCGTTGGCCAAAGAGCCCAATATAGCAGGACCCTCCTGAAAAAAAGGGCCTTTGGACTCGGTAGGACTTTTATAGGCAAATCGGTATCTGATATGTTCATCTGGTGCCTTGGAGGTTGAGAAGGCAAAGTCGAATATCGTCCACAACCTCTTGACAGTAAATTTAACATTACTTGGGCGCCCCCTACTGGGAAAAAAAACCCAACGAAGATTTTCTGTTCTGACATCCATCCCTGCGGCTCGTTTGAAACGTCCCTTCCAAAGTGCTCCTCCGCTCAAGTGCAGCCTCGTGTTAAGCACACGCAAAACTGCCAGCAGCACAAGATCACGTGTCATTATGGATTTGTCTTTGGATATGTTTACATAGAGAGTGAGAGAGGGGGGAAAAAAGGGGCACGCTGCTAAATATAACCGCTAGAATAAACTTCACCGAGGCCAATCTTTAAAACGCAATGTTTGAACAGCCTTTCCAGTCTGCAAGGAGCAACGACAGCTCGCAAGTGGCAAATTCTCTCGACAGCATTCACTGTCGGCGGCGCGCTCACGCTGTCGTTAAAAATATTCCCGCATATGAACAAAAATAAAAAAAATAAGCGGTCGATGAATAAGCGCGGAGAACGAACTCTTAATTCGCACCGCTAATTTTACCGTCACGAGCCTCCATCCATTGCCACCGCACCCTGCGTGACCTGCACGATACGATCCCATATTCCTTTACACGGATACATCCCCTTACGCAGTGGAATTAAGTCTAGCATTTCGCTAATTGCGGGCGCATCCTGGAAGTTCAAAGGTGTTTTGAGTAATACGCGGTGATGTAATGCGCCTTTAAAAAAAAAGGAGGGCATTTAAGGTTATACGAGAACACCGAGCTGAACCGCTCAAATAATGACTTCTGGTGCATATGTATTACACCCTATATTACACTCATCCAGAAAGCTCTTCAGTGACACTCGCCTCGAACAAAAAGAAGGCAAATCAGAGATAAACACGCCAAGGGTGAGAGCACGCAACGATCGCGCGCAACGCACGAATTACTAAAAGTGCAGCCATCGCAGAAAACATGTTACCGAAAGACCATGATGTGCATGTATACCGAACTTTATACATCCACTGCTGGATAAGGGCCTCCCCCACATCGTGCAGGCAGTCATTTTTTACCATACTTCACCTCGCTAACTCAGCGCGGGATAGTGAAGATGGTGTGGGAAGCATGAACACGGGAAAGGAAAAGTAGAGATGACATAGCTGCACCGCCCTCTGTCGCCCAACTTGTAACCCCACGATCTGTAACACCTGGCACGCATGGCGGTCAGCATTCCAAGCACTGTACAGGCCCAAGCCTGCTTATCTTTTGATACAGTTACAAAAACACGCTTTGTCAACTTGTGAGTTTTGCACTCAGTGATAGTTACTCTGTGCCATTGGCACATTGGCAGACTCGCAGCAAGCAATGCATTACCTTGCGGAAGAGATGATGGAACATGATATCTCAGAACAACTTCTGAATTACCATCGAAATGGCTCTCCAACACACCGGTGTGCTGTACCAGTGATGCATTGGCACGTTCTGTTTACGTGACAACCTTTACAAATTGGCTGTGTAGGGTGGTGGCGGGTTTAACGACACAGTTCTATATTTACGCGATCTAACCCAAAAACCTCTATTATGGACTATATACGTGACGAAGTACATTATGCCATTCCGTGCCCATTGAGTATTGGCTTGAGAAAAAAAAATCCATCAGGCACAGTGCTTGAGTTTCCAATGTAATTTAAGCTGGCATTGTAATTACCGATGAATTGTGGACGTAATCATTGTCATCATGGTCATCATCAACACCAGCAGCAGCTGGATTGATCACCATCAATTATATCCAGCTCTTGCAGGCAATGGGGGTTGTAAGTTTCTGTTTTTTGGAGACAGCATACACTTCGGATTGCAGTGAGTGGGAAATCGTTGCAGATTCTACATAGGCTATTGCTCGACTGCTCACAATGGATACATTCAGATCACGATAGCATAACAGGGAATCCTAAAGAGCATGTTATGACAGCTAAATGTTAAAACAAAACATCGTGGTAATAAACACGCGCCTACCGTTCCCATGCTGTCAAGAAATGACCACAGTGAACATTTTACAGGTGTCGCAAATGTACGCAATATTATATAGACTCCCATAAAAACCCCAAAATGCAAATAAATAAACAACAAAAAAATCCTTTATTACGTTCTAAATCAAAATAAAGCATACACTGTTTGGCAAAACAAGAAAGCGGTAGCAGCCAGAAAATAAAAAGACGAATCAAAAACCACTTTGTGGGGAAACGATGACGGAGAGGGAGGGCAGTGAACAGACTGTGGGTATGGCGAGCCATAACTGTGGACATTTATCAAAGTGACACGTTCCCATCCTCCGCCATCCATCACCATGCGAACCTGGCAAACGCCCTTGCCATGTGCCAGCGCGCACGCCGGCGCTGCACGCCAGGCCTGGCCGCCCCTGCGCGCGCCGGTGCCAGCCCCTAAATGCCAGCGGGCACCGGCCCCAGGGGTGGCGGGTACCCCGTGGTGCGACATTAGCAAAATTTTTCAAAAATGTATTTCTCATTCAATGTGTATATGTGTTTTTTAGAAGAGAGGAGGTGGTATTTTTTTTTTTAGAGTGATGGTAATTTTGTGGATTATTATTATTATGTGTGGTACATTTAAGCGAACCGAAAGGTTGGTTATTGCTGTGGAAGAGAGGTTTATTGTCTGTCCCCGTGTCTGTTGGACGGTAGGTCTATTCATCAGTCGGTCCATCGATCCGTCCTGCCGTCTGTCTGACCGTCTGCGTGTCTGTCTTTATGTCTGTCTGTCCATCCGTGTGTCCGTACATGCGTCCAGGACACTTCACATAATTTTCCAACTGCCACAAAACCACTACACCTATTCCTACGAAACTTACCCGAGCAGCCCAACAATATGAATGTTTTAGATTATATAATTCGGGCAAGATGTGCCAAGAAAATAATATTAAAAAGCGCTTAAATATATTTATAAACAAAACACTGAACAAAATGATATTTATCAGCGCAATTGGCACGTCGGCATTAAGAGCGCGTGTGTACGAGTACAAGTGTAGGTAAAGCTCACTCGGCAAGCCCTGCCAGAAACCAGCTGCAAGAGAAATACAGAAGCACTGCTCCCCTCTTCCTGGACTTGCTGCCGGCACATTCTACAACACGAATGGATTTACATAGATCACACAACTCAATACATTCGTCAATCACACTGTCTTCAGAGCACATGTGCTGTGACGATGGACCATTGCCCAAAATGTCGCCTGTTATGTTTTTTTTCTGTTTAAGCCAGTGTTATTGCCAAGCCGTTGGGTTTTTGATTATTTGTGCCCATGCACCACTACCAACGCAGTATCATGAAATCATTTATGTATGCGAGGTTTGTATATATGTATGTATGCTGAACCATTTTGCACCGTACGTAGCCAACCGTGCTAATCGGAGGTGCGGGGGAAGGAAAAAGGTTTGCTCATTACAATGCTCAGTCAATGCCCACCTTCCAAAAGTTTAACTTTCCGACCTCCTTGCATGAAAGGGCACTTGGCTACTGCGTCACGAACAAAGCAATCGGGAGCCACGGTGAAGCTGTCAGCGAAGCAGTGAGATGTAATGCAAAGAGCGCAGCACAAACAAAGGCAGCAGCAGCAGCAGCCCAAGTCCCCCTCCGTACCTGTTGGCCAGCAGGCAGGCGAAGGAGGGCTTACTCAGTCCCAGGTGAGACTGCAGCAAGGCACTCCAGTCCCAGGGCCAGGAAAACAGTTGTGCCTGCCGAGGACAAGTCAGGATTACTTAAACAAATAAATCTGCAATTGCGATCACGCCACCACTGGCCCCCACTGGAGTGAACTCTGGAGGGCGCTTTGGTCTACTCTTCCTTCCACATTGACTGGTGCGTTTTGGACGCAGTGGGCTTACCGACACTTCACCCCACCACACGAGACCTAATGATCAACTGCGGTGAACCCATTTATACACCTGGGTGGACAGAGGCGTTGGGGGAATTGAGAAAACCAGAACTGTTGTTTCAAGGAGGTGGAATTGAATCGGCGAATTCGGGATGGCAAATCCAGTGTGCTAACCATCACAGCACGGCAGCTCCTGCCTGTATGCAATGAGAAATAGTCAAAGAGTGGGGCCTGAGAGTAACAAACAAGGATCGGCTTCACACCCACACAGCTGACCGACCTTGGTCTCGGTAAACGCAGGCCTGGCTACAGGGCTCGGCAAAGTGTTGCAAAGTCGGGTGGGTTTCTTATCTATTGTGGTGTGTCTGCCAGGATTCACTTTATTCCCCTAATGTATGTGCGTGGAGGCCAATAATCGTCAGGCTACATTAATTCCTTCATCGAAAATTCTCGCTTGCATGCATGCGCAGCAGCCTCCCATTTGTACGTCAGCTCCAACCGCTGAGAATCACTCACTCGAGGAGGTTGTTAGGTTTCCTTATTGGGCCCCACCTACTCGGCTGGCGGGAGTGGTTGGACTGGTGATTTGGGCTGCGAAGTCACAAAGAAAAGACCGGCGTTGGCAGAGGTGAAAGCGAACCCATACAATTGGCAAATCGTAGCCTGCTGCATCGCCAACATGTCGGTCGTTGGCAGAGTGCTGACTCGTTTAAATGCCGCGCGCTTTTGTGCGACGCAAATGCGTGCGTCCGATACATTTACACCAGCGCACACGCATGGACCTCGTGTGAAAGTTAACACGTCATTGGACCAGTCGGTGTTAGAGGTTTGCCTTGCGCCGATTGGGTGCAGCGAAAATTTTAAGAACGGCACGTGGGAAGGAGATTTATCTCACAGAACCGACACAGAGGAGAAGCACGTGAAGATGCATATTCTTAAGAAGGTTCATTATAACATCATTGGACCTCCTTTGCCTTTTGGCATCATCTGGTCGAGCACCAATTGAGACTAGGCTCTAAAGAAAGCTGTCTCTGGTGTGGACCAATCAGTTTCAAGGACAATGCATATATTATCAGTGTGTTTTTTGTTTGCATTTTGACTGCAAGTATTGTGGTTAATGCAGACATGAATCCTCGTAAAAAAAGGTTTCAGTTTTGTTGCCAGAAAAAAGGGGGAAACCCTATTACTAGCGTTCATTATTTCACGCCACCGCCAAAAACAATGGGACTTTTAATATTACGTAAAATAAAAGGACAATCTGGGAAAATGAAGACAGGTTTAACGTGTATTGTATTCAAGCAGGTGAGAACTCAGGAGACCGGTCTCATTTGCATGAGTGACCCGGGGCATTCGTCTACCAGTCAGAGGCAATAATTGCCACGTATTATCCCAGATGAGAAACTTGTGGGACATTTTCCAATTTGGCACACAATGGCGTACTCTTGCGAACGGGGAGCTGGGGATCTTGAGGCGTCCACTGTGAAGCAGATGGCATGGGGTATTATGACTGCTGTGCTGATTACACTCGCAGCAATAATCAGGGCGGCCGGCTGGATTCGAACCGTGAATCTCTGCAACAAATCTGTTACATCTGGACATCTGTGAAAAAGAGCTTTATAGCTCGTCGGATTCCTCCAGTATGAAATTAATATTCTGATTCTGAAATGAGGAATGCGCTACCACTGGGCCATGTCACCACCCTGGCATGGCTCATGCGAGATGGCAACCCTAGTTGCATCTTTGGGGGGGGGAAATGAGCAGAATAGTTTCCACTGAGAGTCTCCAATGAAGCATACACACACAGAACATTCTTGAGAGCGTGCTTTCGTCATATTATCATTCTTATGTACACATAGAAGAAAGTGTGAACCATCGTCGATTGCATTTCATCCCCACCTGTTGCGGAAATTTGTACGGCCCTTGCACGGTTCACTTACATGCCCCGACCCAGGGCACCGCTCTCACGTCGCTATGTTGATGCTTGCGAAGCAGTGACATTGTGGGTCTGTCACACAGCAGAAGTGACATTGTGAAATGTTCACATGTCACAGGGATGACCTGCACGGGCTTGCACAAATACCAATAGCAGAGAGATAAAGGTGCAGCCGTGCAGTTGCTCGCTCACGCCACTGCTGGGAGAAGGGCCTCCACTCGAGGGAGCCCTAGGGAGGCCTACTCTCCCACGCTGGCCAGATGGCTGGTAACACGTGGGAGTACCCACCCTTTACCCCATCGCATGCGACCTGTCAATTGCTTACCTGCGGCATGCCCATTTATACTGCTGGGCATTCAAAGACCGCTGGGTTTGGTGAATTTGAGAAACTTGCTCCATTGTTTCGACTGCCGCACGCACCGGGAGATGGCATTGAACCGACAACCTCTGGATTGCAAGTCCAGCGTGCCAACCGTTGCCCCGATTTGGTAGCTCCCAAAGAAAACAAATGGCAAAACTAAATTCTTCTAATGCAGGCGGGCGAGATGTGTCACCCGGTAAGGGGTACAGACCTGTTGTAGTGGCTCGGTGCCAATGTGGCAGAGGCTGCTCACAGGATTAAAGTCTGAAGGAGGCTCGGAATCCGAAAGCACAAACTCCGCTGGGGTCTGCTCCACTTGAACTCTTCTATCCCCTCCCAGTTGCTGTGCGAGCCACATCTAAAAAAAAAACCGACCACCCAATTATTAATTAAACGGCACGCCTGGTCTCCGAAGATGCGCTGAAATGACAAAGGGCCGAGGCAATAAACCTCGGATATCACTGCAGAGAGCTGGAGGCGACTACCCGCCGCCACTGCCAGCTAATAAAAAAACGTTAGAATGTCAGGGCACATCAGGTTTGGTAAATAGTGATTATAAAAGTCTGTAAAGATTAAATAGAACATTTCCCGAAACAAAGAAATTCATATGGACACAGTCTTATCTTTGCCCTTTCGTATAAAAAGTCCACTGCTCCCGTATTCAAACTCAAAAGGTAGCCCACGTGTTTGTGTATCTTATTGCTTGAACTGGAGCATTCACCTCGCAGAGCTCTGGGACCGGAAACCTCTGGACTCAAATAAAAGACTTATCAATGCACAGCGAGCGCTCCCGGCCGCTGAACTGCAGAGCAAATAATCTGCTGTAATATCAAAGCACCTCCCGGGTCCCTGGGTTGGCGAGGCTGACCCCGCCGTGACTTTCGCGCAAGCCCCGACAGCCGCCCAATCAAGTGCTCATTTCCATACCTCATTGGTGCTGACAGCGTGATGGATGCGGCGCAGGTATAGGGGACCACCTGGCCTCCGGCGCGAAGGCGGAGCTGCTGGCGGCAGCTCAACCGGCCGCGCCGCACCACGCGTGCCGCTCTCTGCGTCGCACCGCCTGCGACACGCGCACGCGCGCAACTCACATAGGCGCGTGCACACGCGCGCGCGTGCTCGCTCAAACTTTCAAGCCCCGGTATTTTGGGGATGTTGTTGTTGCTGAAAGTAAGAATGGCGCCGTGGTGTAGTGGTTCACACTCGCCGGACTAATACAGCGTTCACCGGTTCGAATTGATGCCCCTGGTAGCGGCAGTAGAAACAACAACGCAACTTTCTTAAATCCATCCCCCCACCAACGTCTATCCACCCAGCGGTCTAAATAGGTTCACCACAGTCGATCGGCAGGTTGTGTGTGTGGTGGGGCAAAGTGTGAGTACTCCTACCTCTTCCAAGCTGTCTGGCAAGCCTGGAAGAACTGGTCTGAATGGGGGGGGGGGTCTCTCTTGAGCTCCATCCAGTAGGGAGCTCGAGAGTGGCGTGAGCGAGTAATTGCAGAGCTGTGCCTTTACCTTTGTTATTGAATGTAAAGAAATGCACTTTGACATGCGCCGTTAACTCTGTATTTGTATAAATGTATGCCAAGCCTGCCACGACCAAATAATCATTTTAAAAAGAAGCCTAAAGGACATCACTCAAATATTTAACAGCGGAAGTAAATTCATTAAAAAAAACATTGTGGATAAATTTTTTTCCATTTCACGAATACGTTTGCTCGCATTTTGCCCAAACGGATTAAAAGCTCTCTCGTGTGATTGTATGCTTTGTCACGGTTGCTAAAACGCGACCGCGGCTGTTGCTCTAAAATGTTTGCATAGGTGGCTTAAAAAAAATTACCTTGACATTTTCTCGAGAAGAACAAACAAAGCTACAAAGTACATGGAATGCTTCTTACCGCAAAGCACCGAGTTTCTTATGGTTTACGCAGCACTTGACTTGCCGACCGCCGGCGAATCAAGAGTACCATCTGACAGGGCGTTTGAAACAACGCCCCAGTTAACTTTATTTCAAAGCGGGAGACGTCGGTGCGCAAACACGCACCTTGCACGTGCGTTTGCGCGTGGGCACGAGCGTGGAGGAGCGAGCGAGCAAGTAAGCGAGCACGCGCGCGCCAGCGGGCGCGTCCACGTGGGTACGCGGATTGAGCCGGCGACGAGACGGGCAAAAACCACAGCCGTCGCGAGCCCGTGAGCGCAGGTGCCGCTTTGGATTTCCTCCTCCTCCGCATCCCGCTTGTGCCTCAAAACAAATTGCAGCAAATTTCTCTGTCGTCGCTGATGGATTAGCCTGGCAAATTGGGAGGATCCTCGCAACAGCCTGGCACCGCGTCCCCCGACTCCCAGCCGCAACGGCCTGCCTAGCGTAACGCATCCTTCACATCAGCAACCAACTGTGAATGGTTGCGTGGGCCTCTGGCGCCATTAAAATGAGCCACCCGCGTTATCGCGTGAGACAGAGTCAAGGCATCGGCATCGTCCGATGCCTGGCCTTGGCTAACATCAGTGGCAAACAGCGGAATCTGAACCAGTTCTGCACCACCCTCCCCCCAACACACACCCTGCTTTCTCAACTCGTGCTGACTACTGTGGTGAAGTATGGTAAAACAAATTATCTTCTCAAATGATAATTTTGGCGGTGCTCATCTCCTGTTTACAGCTTTGAGCTGACGGGGGCGAGGCTATAGATCGGATGACCACTAGGTGACTTACCCAACACATGCCTTTTCTATCTAGATGTAAAATGCATAGCTCCAGTGGTTTCTAAATATCAGAAGGACGAGCATTCCAGACGGCCGCAGAAGTGCATCTGAAAGGGAGCAATGCAGTGACCATCTTTGTTCGATGGTTAGCCAGAAGCAGCTGCTGCGATGATGACCGGAGTTTGCGTGATGGATTATGCTCCTTGACGAGATCAGCAAGGTACTGTGGTTCATCTGTGGCAAGCACTTTGTGTTTAATGAGTGCAACCTCATAGTCGTATTATTCTTAACATCAATGACACAGTTATTGTAATTGACAAAAATTATAATAAGGTTAGATTGTAGATGAATAAAACAAAAATTTGGTGGACATTATTGCGTGTACAATGCGTAAGAACATTAGCGTGTATTTTTTTTGTTTAAATGTGAAGTGTTGGGAAAAGTAGGAAAGTCGTTCCAGTTTTAAGACAATTAAAAACTTTACTTCTCATTATTCAGAAACTGCTGTGGAGGCGATGTATTGAATCCATAAGTGTAGGGATTTCAGTGTGTTCCCCAAAAGCGATGGATTCTTAAATCTATGAGTGCCGAGATTTGAGTGTTTTCCCCAAAGGAGGTGGATTCTTGAATCCATAAGTGTGGCGATTTGTCAGTTTTCCCCCTTGTACGCATGGGTTTTATCCTGATCCTCCAAAGTTGTCCCACGTGCCAAACACTCATGAATGGAATTGGCCAAACAAAATTATGCAGGATCCTCTAAAAAACGCAAAAAATTCTTGAAACTCGGCGAGGCTTTGCTGGGTAAAACACGGGGCATTATTAATTGTAAGTGTGTGCCGATGCGATGAGCCAGTTGAAGCTGTTTTCATATCCGCAATAAATAGGGCAAATAAAACTCACCAGGGGCCAATTACACAGTAAACAGAAGCAAGTTTAAATATACCACGCCTATTACACAGGCGCAAGATAGGCACCGTGAGAATTTATCATAAAAAACGTAATGCATGCCCACCCTGGGAAAAGGCCACGGCACTCGTATGGAAAGACAAAGACAGGACCGCCCGTCAAAAGCAATTAGGGTAACGTAAACGCCTGTCACTCACGGGACACCGGCACAAACATTGGGGCGCCTGTCGGCAACTCCAGGTGAGGACGGCGGAGGCACCAGTCACTCCAGGTTGCCGCGATATCATTCGTCACGATACGATGGGACAATGATCGTCGCGAAATAAAAAAAATACAATCTGTAACGCTGATAACACGCTGCGCTGTTGGCTACACTAAACATTATTCAGGAATTAAACGAACTTTGAAAATGAAGTCCTTAAATCGCCATGTCATCGATGATTCCGGAAAGAGAATGTGATTGAAAGCGTTAATTGGATGCATATCGGCGATTTATTTAAAACTTTAATTTGCAGAATAGAGTTTATTACTTCAGAAATAGTTTGGCTACGCGATCACGCCGTCCGTTATAAAAAAAATAATACTGCAGAATCGCCACGGTCGCAGCAAAACCCACCGCGCCAACACCTGCCAAAGCAAGGGCCTGCGCTGACCACACCACACCGGCCCGCTTGTTTCTCACAGTGAATCACAGCTGGGATGAGCAATGAGGGCGTGTGACGTGGAGACGACGACGATGCCGACGATGCCGACGACGGTGCTTAGAGCGGAGCCGTTTAGACATTAAAGCAGCTTTCCTGATAGCGCGTACTGAGACATGCGGTCTGCCCCCCACCCCCCCCCCCCCCCCCCCCCCCCCCCCCAGCTGAGACGGTTTGTTCGCCTCAAGGAGAAGGAAAGTGTTTCTTTGAAAACTAAAGCCATCAGCGGCTCGGCGGCGAGGGGTGCCACTCGTCAACAGACGCTAGCTCGCGTGCTTTCCGGGGGCCGCGAACGCTTCGTGCAAAAAAATAAAATGCCCCGCCGCCACCCTTACGGGCAAAACGCTCGCTCCCAAAAGTGTGCATTTTAAAACGCGGACGGAGAAAGAAAGAAAAAGAATCCGGTCGTTGCGGCCATCCGAAGACGCGAAGGTTAAAACGTTTTTTTTTTCCCGTTCCTTCTAAAATTGCATCGCGGAGGGCCGACGCTATAGCTTGCGCACGGGAACGAAAAGCGAAAAAGTTAATTTGCGTCTCCCATGACGGTCACTTCCTACAGGTTGAGGGCGCACGGCGTCAATAGCGTCGGGCTCGAATAGGCGCGTGCAGGAAATGTATGCGAGGTAATAAAAGGTACATAAGCATATGATGTACACACGTGCACTCACAAGCTGATATATAAGCATTTCATCTGTTCTGAAAACTATTTGGAGAATCACATAAAACCACATTATTTTAGGTAAAATGGCAGTTAAGGTCCAACTCAAGGATTTATGCAAGGAGTTATGTGGATAGACACAGCTTAACTCCTCCTATAGCCCAATAACATCTATATTCGTGTCTCTTTTGCAGGCACCATGAATCATTTCGATGATATAAGGGATGATTAAACGGAGGCATGGGATGATTAATTTCCTCCAAGCCCAGCCCATACCATCCTATCAATCATGTCATTAGAAAAGGCGCACAGTGAACTGGCAAAGGCTCTGGCTATGAATTACTGCCTCCATCTTCATTAGCCCCGTGTGAGAGTACCAGGAAGAGGCATAAACAGCAAATGTTTCACCTTTGTGGAAAAACGCTCTTGATCAAAAGGTTATATCGCACACGGCGCAGGCGGCTGATTGCCTAGCCCGTACCTGTCCCGCTCATTAAAACCGCAAACAAATAAATAAGCACAACCATCTTGAATGCGGCACACTCTTGGCGGTAACGATAAGCTAAGTGGCTACTTTCTTTTTTTTGCCGCCGTGTAAAAATGCACGGCAGAATAGGTCCATTAAACACCCAGCGCATTAACCGACGTGGCAAGTCTCCCCAATTCATTACAAACACATGTAATACAAATGCCGCACCGCTATTTCCCCCCCCCTCCGCGCTCTGCCGTACTTTTCTTGGTCCAGCGAAGCAGCGGTCATGTGCTATCTCATTTTCGCGCGTAATGATGAGCTATTAATCTCCCTGACAGGTCCGCGGGAAAAAAAAAATCAGCCGGGTCCCACAGTTCACTTACATGCAAAGCGCAAGGCCTGCCCATAAAACTGGGTAAAACAATGCATTATTTCCACAGGACTCAGTTCTGATACAAACCTGCCAAGTACAATAACTCTTACTTATGTCGTCATAAAGCACGTCGAGCGACAGAGGGAAAATAATCTGCTCTTCATGTAACGTTTTAAAGGACGACATTTTAAAAGATCAACCCGTCCCAATGAAGGTTTTTGAACAGTTGCTATGGAAGTGCACGGTTAGCTGTGTTAAATTCACAGTACAATAATATAAATATTCATTAAAAGCACAAATGCTGCTATATTTAATTTTCATAATTGTCCCTCCTTAAAACCGAACGGCGGAAACGATCACCCGTTAAACAAACAGACAATTACGACCGTAGCGTGCCTTCCAGACTCATTGGGCGTTACACAAAAAGTATTTCAATAAATATTCAACGGCAATGCTCTTTAAGGAACCTGACACGGTGGGCCGTGCACCTTGGCCCCTTAAGACAATTATCACGCAAACACTGGCCCTTAATTATTTTTCGGTGGCCCCCGCCCCACCACCAGCACGATACGGTGGGCGTTGGGGCGCCGTGGCAGCCCCTGTAGCGCCATCGCATCCTCTGAGTCGGGTCAATTGCAGTCACGGGGGTCCGCGATCACAACACGTTTTTTAATCGGCCTCTGCATGGTCGCCTCCGCCGCAAATCACCGCGTTGCATTCGCGGTGCGCCGGAGGGGGGGAAAGGAAACAAGGGCTGCAAGTCGAAGCGCCGGTCCCTGTTTTACGTCTCTCGCCTTTCAAGAAGCAACCGGCTTGCAGCACTTGTGCTGCCGGCTACTGAGAAACAGCATCACAGGATACTTTATCCCTCCTTCTATTAGGCCTTGTTCAGAATCGTTTTTGCTTTGCCGCACGGTGCCTTAGAGGGGGAAAAAAATGCGTCGCTTGACCCGAATCTCCCATAAGAGTCATTTGATGTTGAGTGCATTAAATCGAAAAGCAAAAAAATCCACCTGAAGTTATGATTGAGCAAAAATGTCTCTAAAACCTAAAAGGCCTTCATGTACAAAGGTGCTACCTTTGTGATAACATTCTTACATTTCACAAGAGGAGTGAAAAAGTAAATTGTTACTGTGCAAAAAAAACGTGTACGTATTCCACCGTGGGTTTGTGTACAGTATATATAGAGAGCTGTATAGGCAGGCAGAGGCATGAAGGCAGGTTAGCTCGGCAGACGGATGTATGGTAAACAGTAGATATATAACAAGTATATCCCCCCCCCTCCCATGATCTCATGAACTGCCACAAATCAGATGTATGATTCGATTCACGAATAGATTCTCTCATCTACTTTCTATTGTGTCTGTCCCACGTGTTCAGTCTCGTCCGTTTCATTCACCTTTAAAGCAAAATTTGAATATAATGTTCTAGAATTGTAAGTATTCTATTTGTACATGCACGATTCAATGCATGTCAACAATACCATTAACTGATCTATCTACAGCTGGATGAAGGCCACCCCAAGCCTTTAATGTGTTTAGTTTGTCGTCCCTTCTCACGCACCGCTGATGAGCATGGATGGCTACATACATACATAGCCATTTCTTATGGTCCTGAAATGTAACAATCCATCTAGCTCCTGCAAACGAGTCGATTTCAACGCGACATCTCCGTGGTAGACATACTCGCAGGCATCTTCCCTCCTTTGGTTGCCATTCTGTTGTTAGTCTCAACCACCGGTCATCGTCCCCTCCAGCAAAGTGTCCTGAGGAGTAGCCCAGTCACAGCGAAACCTATACTGGATGTGGTATGCCAGGTGTGGAAATATACTCCAAATCTCTGACCTGAACAGACAAACAGATAGGCAGGCAGGCAGATATGATTCCAGACAGCCTACCTATATACCTAAGTAAGACTATATACTGTATAATGAGAACTCCGTTCACATATAAATACAAATATTTTAAAGTCCATCTTTGAGACCAATCCAGCAGCATTTGTTTGACCAAGCAAATGCTGGACCGGTTTTGACCTTCTGGGTCTCATCAGCAGAGTCAGTCATAAGAAGTGAGGGTTAACATCTGCACAGACTTACTGTGCTCCAACGATCCTGGCCGCCCGTGCCAGGGTGGCCTCCACCCAGCCGGGCCTCCGCATCCTCAAGGCCTGTACGGTGCGTCGCACTGACGGGGAGCAACCACCGCCACCGCCGACATCGCCGCCGCCACCGCCGCCACTATCATCGCGCCCCTCCATCGCCACGGCACGCACGCAGTCCGCCACGAGCGCCAACGCCTCCGCCGAGGCCCGGTCCAGCGTGACGCCGGTGGCCTCCTCCGCGGCATTGCCGTCCTTCAGCGTTCGGCAGAGCAGGTCGCAGAGCGCGTAGAGCAGCAGCGAGCCGTGGGGCGGCCGGAGCTTCGAGAGGCCGCCGGCACCGCCGCCGTCTTCAGGAGCAATCGAGGAGAAGAAGACCTTGATGGGCGTAGAAATAGATGCCGCGGCCAGCGGTAGCGTCTGCACGGTGGCCTCTAGGGCTCGCTCCACAAAGTCCATGGTGCCTGGAGGACCACGCAAGGGAAAGGTCAGTCGTGTGGAGCGGCAGGAGGAGATGGCTTGTTTCGCGTGCCAAATGTATCAAGGTACCGTCGTGTATAATGTCAAGCCACTGATGAGTGAAGGCCTCCCTGTGCCTTGTCGGTCACGGGGTTTGTTTGCCCATACTTCACCACGCTGGTCAATGTGAGTTGGTGACAATGAGAGTGCCCACTACTAGTTCAGATATCACTCACCACTGATGATGGCCATTTCAAAGTGCAGTGCCCTTACCGCTGCGCCACCACTCCATATGCTACTCTGTATATGCAATACATTATTCTCAGTTGTTAATTTCCATCTCGTTAAATAAAATTTAAGGCAGCACATTTTCTGAGACAATTTGCGATCTTTCACCATATATATATATCTCACCGATCATATTGTCTCCCGGTGACCGCTTTCCCCCGATGATAAAGGCGAAGTGCAGAGCAGCAGGAAACGGAGGACGCTTCCCAGCCGATGACACGGGCAAGACCTCGAGCATGCCTCGAGGATGTTAAAAGGTGTTTGACAACCTTTACACCGTCGACTACTTAATTAAGACATCCGACGGTATTCACAATGCATATTATACTTTATTTATTTAACACAAAGCAGATGCGCTCAATTGATAATATGTGTTAAGCTTTTTATTCCCATCAGCAAATCGATGCGTTGGGGAAACGTAATCCTTCCTTCCCAAAGTATCTGATCTATGATGCATAAAATGCTTCAACACGTATTGATTTTTTTTTTAAGATATAGTGCCAGGGAAACACACATCCCACCAACACCCCTGTCTTTACCTCTATGCGGTTCCGAATCGATTCTTCACCAACAAAAAAAAACACCACCATGACTTCCCCCTGCTAACATTTACAAAAGCTGCATTTAGGAAGCCGTGCTGAATTCCCCCGCACGCCATCTCTCGTTCTTGCCTTGCCTAATTACATACAGATCTATCTTAGTCGGCCCGCCCCCTCTTGCCAGCGAGCCACACGCATTAGGCGGCACGACTCTGCCCGATGATTGATGAGCGACGGCTGGCAAAAAACTCGCAGCTACAAAAAGGCCCCTTTGATGGATTATCACAATATGCATATGAAAACAGTGATGGATGACTGCGAGAAGCAGTGTAAAATACAACGGCGGGACATGACACGGAAAAGGTCTTATTTCAGAAAGGCCGTTTAGGCAGATTTTTTAACTCTGCTCGCAGGGCGGTGCCTGCGCCTGCTTTGCTCACGAGCCGTGGCTCCAGATTGCTTCCACTCGGCCATCTCAGAGCAGGAATTTTTTTTTTTTAACGCACAATAATACGAACAAAATGGCACCTATTCATTTTTTGCAAATGATATGTCCGTTAAATTGGCTATAACCATACTCACTCTTTCATAAGTGTGTAGCTGCTGATGCTTCATTATGAGAATGTTACGTTTAAGGCACATGGTGGGTAATTTTTAAACTGCTCCGCGAGATAATTCCTGCGGTGGGAATAATGAGATGCTATTGGCTACGTGCCCTAACACAGCCTCGGCAGATGACCCCGAGTGACACTAAACTTGATTGTGGTGTTGTAGCTTTTCATAAGCGGCGGCTCTTTCGTCCTTTGTCTCAGATCCTGCAAAGATGGCTGGCCACAGAATCCTGCCGTGATGTAACGATCAGCACACTGGACTTGCAATCCAGAGGTCGCTGGTCCTATTCAACCTCAAGGCGCAGCGGTTGACACAATGGATGCGTTTCATAAATCCTCCTCCCCCCCCGCCTCTGTCACGTAGACAAGTAAGGTGTGGGTAGAGTCGACCAAATACCCTCCTCTAGAGGGGTTCTCTCGAGCTCCATCCTGGGGCTCTCGAGTGCTCGCTCTGGTGGAGGTCCTTCCACCAGCAGCGGTGCGAGCAGGGAATTGGGGGGGGTTGCATCTTTACCTCTTACCGTTGTGCCACCTCATGTCTCCCTTACCTGCAAATCCCTGCTTCTGCGACGCCGCAAACCCCCACTCATGGGGGATCTTGCTGATGAGAGAGGGCGGCAGTTCCTTTGCCGCATCACTCCCGGCCGTCCGCGAGGCCTCCAGCAGCTCCAGCACGGGCAGCAGCAGCACATCCCGGGCCGGAGACAGCAGGAGGCGCAGGCTTTCGCTCACGGCCGATTCCTGGCTCCCGTCCACTGGCCACAGAGGATCACCGCAAGAGGCATACAGAGGGGCAGATACAGGCGCAGAGTGGCATGTGAGCGACAGCCGTGGCCGGTGTAAACCCGGGTTGATTAACCAGTGATGGCAAGACATATACCGTATGGGACCGCTCAGTCCCCTTTATAGATTTGTTCTATTCGATATGTAAAAAGATAATGGCGCATCCCTGCAATTACTTGCTCAAAGCCATTGCTGGCGGAAGGGCCTCGGCTAAATCGAGCTCTCGAGAGAAACCCCTCCGGAGTTGATTTGGCCTACTCTTCCAATGCTGACCAGATATTTTGGAAGGGATCGGAGTACCCACACGTTACCCCACCACGCGCAACCTGCTAATCGACTAACTGTGGTGTAACCCATTTATACTGCTGGGTGGACATAGGCGGTGGGGGGAGGGGGAGGGTTTCAGAAACTTGCACCGTTGTTCCAAATGCCTCTGGATTGCAAGTCCAGTGCGCTATCCACTACACCAGGGCAGCTTCCCATACGTCATGGCAAAGTGTCTCGCTGCTCCAACGAGGCAAGCGTTGCTCTTCCCAATGAATGGGCCCCGAGCCGGTCGTGAAAATCCTACAATCATTTGGTTGAGGTTCAGTCTCTTTACAAAAAAAAAACATTGTTAAGGTACGGGAGTTTTAACAGAGAACAATCAATGTTTTTTGAGTGCAATATTGTAGGACTTTGAGGTGAAGGGATGGCGCAGTTGTTAGCGCACTGCATTTTGAGTTCAATTGCCGGTCACGGGCAACATCAGTGAGGAGAGATATCTGAACCAGTGCTGGGTCCACGCTGTCATGAAACCTCCGTTGATCAATTAGGCCACTACCCAATAGGGTAAGCTCCGAGTAGCAACACAATTATATACTAACTTTCATTCTGCATATTGGATAACCTTTACCAGCTATAACAGTCCCCCTCTCCCTACTATAGACAGATGGACAGGCAGACAAAGGTATAGACAAAAGGACAGAACTAATATGTGCTCACGTTATCTGGAAAGAATACAAAACTTGGTGTTCCAGCCGCTCCGTCCCAGGGGCGAGCAACAAAGAAGTCCGGGTGTGCTTGCCAGGAACACCGCGAGAACACCGCGAGAACACCGCGAGAACACCATGTGAACACCGCGTGAACACCATGTGAACACCGCATGAACACCGCGTGAACATCGCATGAACACCGCGAGAACACCGCGTGAACACCGCGTGAACACCGCGAGAACACCATGTGAACACCATGTGAACACCATGTGAACACCACATGAACACCGCGAGAACACCATGTGAACACCGCGTGAACACCGCGTGAATACCACGAGAACACCGCGAGAACACCGCGTGAACACCGCATGAACACCATGTGGACACCGCGAGAACACCGCGAGAACACCGTGTGAACACCGTGTGAACACCATGTGAACACCGCGTGAACACCATGTGGACACCGCGAGAACACCGCGAGAACACCGCGTGAACACCGCGTGGACACCACGTGAACACCGCGTGAACACCACGTGAACACCATGTGAACACAACGTGAACACCGCGTGAACACCATGTGGACACTGCGAGAACACCGTGTGAACACCGCGTGAACACCATGTGAACACCGCGTGAACACCATGTGGACACCACGAGAACACCGCGTGAACACCGCGTGGACACCACGTGAACACCACGTGAACACCGCGTGAACACCGCGTGAACACCATGTGGACACCGCGAGAACACCGTGTGAACACCGCGTGAACACCATGTGAACACCGCGTGAACACCACGTGAACACCGCGAGAACACCATGTGAACACCGCGTGAACACCATGTGGACACCGCGAGAACACCATGTGAACACCGCGAGAACACCACGTGAACACCATGTGAACACCGCGTGAACACCACGTGAACACCGCGAGAACACCGTGTGAACACCGCGTGAACACCATGTGGACACCGCGAGAACACCATGTGAACACCGCGTGAACGCCACGTGAACACCGCGTGAACACCATGTGAACACCGCGTGAACACCATGTGGACACCGCGAGAACACCACGTGAACACCGCGAGAACACCATGTGAACACCGCGAGAACACCATGTGAACACTGCGAGAACACAACGTGAACACCGCGAGAACACCATGTGGACACCGCGAGAACACCGCGTGAACACCGCGTGAACACCACGTGAACACCACGTGAACACCGCGTGAACACCGCGTGAACACCGCGTGAACACCGCGTGAACACCGCGAGAACACCGCGTGAACACCGCGTGGACACCGCGAGCCAGCAGACGAGAGGCCGGGCTAACCTTCGGGCGAGATGACCACGTGGTCCCAGAGGGCGTGCCTGTCCAGGTATTCCCGCATCACGTCACGCAGGACGCAGGGAGAGTCCTCGCAGGAGCCCAGCGTGAGCAGCACGGCCTGCGCCAGCGAGCGGCCGCCTCCCTCCGGCCCCGCGTTCGCCCGCCGCCACGGCCGCCGCCGCTCGACCCCTGCCAAAGCAGCGCCGGGGTCGGGAGCCGTGAACTCGATGTAGACAGGGGCCGTACACTTTTTTTGCATTATCAAGAACACCGCAACTCTGACCTGGCAATTATGCGGCCCGTCGTGACGGATTACGTGTGCGCCAACGGACACGGGGAGGGACCACGATGCGGGGGGAAAAAGAAATAACTCGTAACTGTGGTGTCGCGAGTTCATAAGCGCATTGCGCCGATGCCACGTGCTGCCATAAATCACGCGAGCATTAAAATTACAGACTTATCATGACTTGTAATATTTTACGGTGTAATTAATCGCAAGTCGCCAATCGTTTCTGCTCTTGGCGTGCTTGATGCGCTGTTTCACAGTGCGGTTAAGGTTGTATTTTTGGCAAAGCAAAGCCGGTTTTTACATGAACTCTCAAAAGCAATGTGACAAACTGACTGCTGCATGCAAGGTATTAGCGGTGACAGTAAACGCCCCTTTAAAATGACTCGAGATTATTCCTCCTAATGTACTCGATTCAGTTAATCTGTCTACTGGGCACAGGAGAATGCACAGTGACATGATCAGAACAAGACTGCTCAATAGCGTGAATGTCAAGCTGTGTGATGAACAAGCTAATAACGTCGCATCCATGACTGTGTTTTTCTGAATGTGGGTGATGACAGAACTTGTCATCACTCCGCTATAATAAGCCCCTCCAGGGTTTTCAATCTACGGGCCGTGCCAACAGACAAAAGCTTAATTTTTTTCCTTTCAGTCTCCGCCGAGCGTAACATGTGCTCCAAAGAGAGTCACTTGCCTGTGTGGTCGGCAGCACCTGACCTCAAATGGAATTCCAGCACGGGGCTAAACTTAAAATCCATTTTGTGAGAACTGGGTGAGGAGAAGAAAAAAAACCCACTTGGCTCAAATCCATGAGAGCAGTGTAAAAGGGGGGGGGGGGGGGGGAAAGTGAAACCGCTTGTTGTTTGGCCCGAGAGCTGACACTTTACCGTGACCTGGGCCACAATTCAAACCCCGTCACGCAGACGCACGCAACAGTGCAGGAGACATAATCCCGTCTTTGTCAGAACAGTAAGCGACGGCGTGCATATCCGCGTCGCCAAAAGAGCACATCCACAGGCCCTCATTCCACGTGTCGGTGAAGGCATACCGCTCATACCTTTGTTACCAATAAACCCTTCCATGCTACCAGTATACTTTTGATCTTCACGCTGCCAAATCAGCCTTTTTCTCAAGATTTACTCTGGAGACCTCCTGCGCTATGCATGCTGCTACAACTCTTAACGTCTTTACATCATTTCCATACGCGTCCACAGGGACAGCCTTTCAACTATCTTGCCGGGCTTAATTATGCACTCAATCAGCAGGAGAAACAGTGCCTGTGACACACGCACCTTTTTATTCTGTCATTGAAGATTGAAAAATTGCTTTTAAAGCACATATATTGCCTTTTATTTTCAATTCCGCAGCCATGACTAAAGACATAAAACAATCTGTTTAATGTAAATATGTGTTCCCGCGCAGTGACTACGTCCCGCAAATAAACACGCGCGTGCATGCACGCTCTGCCAGCTGAGGAAATGCAAATTGCACGGAATGAGATCTGTGAGCTTGCACGCGCGCCGCTCAGCGTCCGTGCCGCACCCGTGTTGACGAGCAGCGCTTTGGACAGCAGCCCGTTTTCAAACACCAGGGTCTGCACGAGGAGATCCCGGTCCAGCCGAGGCTGGGCCAGCAGCAGCCTGACGTGCTCGTACACCCTGAGCCCACACACGGACACGCGCCAGAGAGGGGCAGGCCGGCCCAGCGTCGCACGCGCGCGCACTCAACTCTGCCGCAGGGTGAAGGCCGTCTCCGAGAGCAACACGGAAGATTCTCCCACGTGGTCTCCTGGCCAAAATGCTGTTAATGGTCCATTCGTTATTTTCAGTGCTGTTTACATGTGCTGGTCTTATTTAAAGCAATTATTTCAAACATTTATCCGACGACTGCTTCAAGTCTCTCGGGGTTTTCACTGAGTCTCGAACTCCCTTCCCCCCAGCCAATCCATGCCGTCGACTGCCTGCCCCTATTCAGGTTCAGACTCGAGACCTTTTTTTCGCTTTGCTTCTGCCTATGACCTAGCACCTCTCTCTATACAATGAAAAACACCCGCTGTGTCCTGAGAGCGTCTCGAGATGTGGCCGCATTTAGACGCCACAAGAGTCTGAATTGCATCGCACGAACCCGAACGAGAGCGTTAACTCGTCCCGATCGTCACTGGTTTATTTCAGTTTATTCTGAGAGCACGTTTCGAGACTTGCAGCGGCACGAACGAGTGAGCCGACATATTGTCACGCATGTAGTGGTGGTAGTGGTAATACTGTATCCAAATACAAACATTTTTTTTATTCCTATCACTCTAGTGGGGGTGGAATGGTGGTGCAGTGAATAGCACGCTGCACCATGCAACTGATGATCTGAGTTTAATTCCAATACATGGCTAACATCACTGGAAACTGATATCTGAATTGTCTTTCCCTTTCCCCCTCTGCCTGCCCCCCCCCACGCCCACCCCTTTACAAACTTACATTGACCAGCGTAGTGAAGTATGGTCAACCCTCACGACCGACATAGCTAGAGCAGGGACTTCATCCAATAGCTAATGACCAAATCACCCAGAAAGTGCCCGATCCCATCAGATGCTGAAAGCTAAGTTGTATTGAGCCTGGATAATGCTTTGATGGGCGACCGCTATGCATAGCAGGTGTTCTAGATTGTGGGACTACATGGTGGGCAGCATGGGACAGTGCATTGTTGTACTGTTCTTCTGCACTCCCATGTCTTTGTTCCACATCTTCACCAACCTGCAGTGACCAGCGAGGTGAAGTATGCCCAATCAATACGATCCGCACAGGTGCAAGAGGTAAGGAAGGGTAATGTGCGAGAGATGCCATGTACCTCTCTGGCCCTTTGCCAAAGAGGCCTGGCCTCATCCACTGCAGCCACAGAGGAGCGAGGCCTGGCCTGGATCCATCTTTACGCAAGCGTGGTGCGCTTTTCGCGGCAGGGAACCCATCTTTGAAGGCTCTGACGATAACCAAACGCAAACAAGGTCACCGGCAAATCGCATCACTCGTTAAACGCAGGTATTAGCTGAATCGGAAAAGTAGCTTGGGGAAGAAAAAAAAAGGATGCATTAAAGGTGTTTCACGTCACGTTTATAATATTCTCAGACGCTGGACCCGGTGTCTGTTACACGTTCATTCTGCTGTTCAAGTCATTATTTGGCAAACAGAAACGCAAACGTTTTGGGATTGAAAATGGAAATTGAACGAATGCAAAGAGAGCTTTCATTTTGTTGAGTTTTGTACGTATAATAGTGGAGTGTGTCAGCCGTGGAGATGGAGCGATGAAATCAGCTCGTTTACAGGAGCTAGACGGATCGCGACATTGCGTGACCATAAGAGATGGCGACAGCTTTGAGAGATCATCAATCAGCAGGGGATACACCATGGTCAATGTATGTACGTATGTATGTTGAACTTCTCTCGCACCGTACCTAGCCAACAGTGCTAATCGAAGGTGCGGAGGAAGGACAAAAATCGGTTCTAAAGAAATGTATTTTCAATCTATATTTAAACGTACGTAGCCCCAGTGGCTTCCTAATATTGGAAGGAAGAGCATTCCAGACGGCCGCATAAGCGCATCTAAAATCACGCGATACAGTGACCGTCTTTGTTCAATGGCGAGCCAAAAGCCGCTCTGTGAGGATGACCGGAGTGTCGCGTGATGATGATTTATGCTCCTCGATGAGATCAGCGAGGTATTGTGATTCATTTGTGGCAAGCACTTTGTGTGTAACGGGTGCGACCTCGCAACGTATTCGTTCAGCGATGATGACGAAGACGACAACGACGACGAAGACGACGACGACGACACACGTCGAGGTGTAATGCACTTACAGGTGGAGCTGATCCAGCGGCGCAGTGCCGACAGCCAGCGTTGCCAGCAGCGAGCCGCAGTGCGCATGGATCGGCGACAGCAGCTCCGCGTGCTCGTCCCCGCCGCTCCCCTCCGGCTCCAGCAGCTCCCGCCAGCCGCGGCAGACGCCCAGCAGGTGCCACGCCGAGTAGGCCAGCGCGGCCGTGATGTCGGCGCGCACCTGCGGCGTCCGGCGCTCCGACGGGCGGGCCCGGGCGTAGCGCGCGGCGAGCGGCGCAAGCGAGCGGCCCAGCACCGACGCCAGCAGGGAGCGCGCCAGCGCCGGGGGCAGAGACCGCCGGAGGTCGGACCAAAGGGCGCCGAGGTGGCAGTGCCACATCTGCAAGCTGAAGGAGCAACGCTCGCCCTGCAGGGCAGGTATGCAGGTGTAAACGCGTAACGTTATAATATTTCGGGACATATTTCGGGGCACATTGTGAGCTGGCAGCGATTCCCTCTGTCAGCACAACCCACTTTTTCAAAGTCACGCACGCTAAGCTACTGTTCCCGCCTCCAAAAGTCACACCCACTGCTCAGGTAGCCCCGCTCACTAGTCAGGTAGCCCCGCCCATCATGAATTGAGTATGAGGCCAGAATTTTTGTTAATTGGTTTTTAATCCCAAATTGCGCAAAAGATTCACAACTCCGGAACAGCGTTTCTGAAACCAGAACTGTCGCGGCCAATATACCACAACATTGAGCAGCTGAAGTCAAGTTAATTATAAAAAAAATATTATCACCTAATTTTCTTGCAACATTGACAGACAAAATCGCGTGCAAAAAAATATTTTATAGAGGACACAACAAAATAATATTGCGACACTAGCCAATGTTTCAATGTAAAACAAAAATGTTTTAATTGCTTTTCATTTTTAAAACCGAATATTTAACTTGCACATTTATAACATGCTTGAAAACAATGCCCTTTAAATCCTGATGGATTTCTTTTTCCCCTCTCTCAATATCTCATCAAGCGAGGCGAATGAACCGTTTCCACCCTTCTCACCGTCGGGCGCTTGAAGTGAGATTAGCGGATTTATTATGACACAGTTTGTTTGCTCTGAATTTTCATCCGAATCAAAATAATGACTTGCATTATGCAAAGGAAACAACCTACAGAAGTGTCTAATTTGCTTTGATAAATCTAGCAATCAGTTTTTAATGAAGTTACTTTGTTAGCACGTCCCTGAAAATACAAACACCCAGCTGAAAACATTACAACACACTTCATGCATAGGCAATTACACACACACACACACACCGCTCTCTCCACATTTTACGACGGTAGATCATTTACAACGGGGAACGGTGGGGAGGGGGGGTTGATGGGAGTAATTGATCGGAGTAAGTATTCCTTTAAAACAGGACGGAAAACTTTCCCTGATTAACGTTAAATTGGTAGAATAGGTGAGTAGGCACCATGGCTCCCGCATTGTGGGTGGATTGAATGCTCTGCGGGGGGGGGGGCTGCGACACTCACAATGTAAGTAACACGCCGCTCGCTTATCTATTGTGGAAAATGTACGTAAATTTGGCAAGTGAGCCGTAGGATGGCAGCCTCCACTCGGGACCGCATTCTGGGCTCGGGCAGCTGGAGCGGCGAGGTTGCACCGAGCGGAAGGGGTACATTGCTTCTGCGCGACTGCGAGCGTGCGTTCGCCACCATTCGCACCCGAGCTCAATCGCCCCCCACCACCAGCTCGCTTAAAGTGCCGAAAATCAGTTTGGTCTGCCGCAACGACCTTTGGGACTTGCAAACGTGGGCGCAGAAGAGATGTGGAGGAATAAATGGGGGGGGGGGGGGGGGGGCGGGCGGCGCGGGAGAGGCGCCGCAAAGGTGAAAAACATGAGCCTCACAGCCGACCCCGATGATCAAATCTCCTCGCTTCACACTGCCTCGGCTTAAACAGTTGCTCTCCTGACCTGTGAGGTCGATAATCGACGTTCGGTCGCCGTTTTATAACATTAATTGCGGTGTTCCACGCAACAAGGTGGGCTCGCAAGAACGTAGTGAATGATGGCCCAGAATCGCATGAGAACATCACGCGGACGCTGTGGACACCTTATGCACAAATGGAGACTCAAGGACACTCCATACTGTGAATGTGGTGAACAACTTAAACATTGAAACACGTCGTGAACAACTGTCTGCCCTATTAATGCCCCCACTGGAAACATCTCCGAAGTTCACTCCGCATTTCACCGAACCTCTAGACCGGATGGGAAAATCTATCGGCATCATGAGCAACATTGGCATGCTGAGCTTACCCCCATAGTTTAAGAGAGCAGTCAGTAGATGGTGGCCGAAGATTAGACATGTACAGATGCATCGATTCACCGATCAAAATCTATTGTCACCCTCGCTTAATATGCGATGAATCGTGCATGAAAAGATTGATTCGTTAACTATATATGTAAATTCGATTGTACTATGCACGGGCCTGCAACGTACCTCGTAGAAAGGCCTGTGATCTGCCCAGCGGTGGCTCTCCGAATCGTGCAGGATGCTCGTGGTAAGGACCCCAATGTGGTAGTCTGTGATGCTGTCACAGATGCCTGACATAAACTCTTGCCACTTCTTGAGGGTCGCAGACAAAGGCAACCTGTAAAAGAAACACAGCCTCACGAGACTGACTTGAGTGGGGAGCAGTCGCACACTAGTTAGATCACTGAAGTGCACCATGAACTATCCACCTGCGTTTGATTCCCAGCCATGGCAAACATTAGTGGTGAGGGATGTCTGAAACGGTGCTGTGCCCCAACTTCGCCAACCAGCATTGACCAGCTTGGTGAAGTATGGTCAAACAACCCTATAACCATCAGCAATGCATATGGAGACCTTCAACCAGCAGTAGATTCCCTCTAAGTTATTATTTTTATGACGTCACTGTAATACAAATTCTGAACTCGTAAAATCGTTTTCATTGTAATAAAAAACGTACAACCTTATTAATGCATCACAATATTACAGGTTGTTAACAGCGTAGCAATGTCAGTGGAGCTCAATTGCACATCTGAATAAAATATTAAAGGTGAACTACAAACACAGTTTCTCAACACAAAAACAAAACTTGCATATTGATCGTGGGCTACTAATGGAACAAATTACTGTGTACAGCACTTATAAATGACAAAAAAAATAAAGTATGATTAAATTAGCTAAAGTGTTCCGAACACATCAGTTTAAAATGCATCATTTTAAAAGCGCAGGTACGGCTCAATAAGGAGTCACACAAGATCAAATGGCGAAGCTCTTCAAAGTGTGCAACTGCTCATAGCGAACTGGCACACGCGTTCAACTACATGCGCCGCATGCACGCGCCAAATCAGCGTGCATTTTTTTAACAGGATTTTTTTTTTCTTTTACAACACCAAAGTCATTTTTAAGGATCGTCGTGTATGTTCATAGTCCGAAAATGAAAGTGACAAGATGAAGGAGACAGCTCTTGGTTCTTTAACTTATAATTCCAGTACCCATCTAATAGCGCTCCCAGCGAGTTTCTGGAATGATCCTTCTTTAAAAATATGAAAATACAAAGAAAGTATGTCCACTGGGTAATTAATTCATATGGCCTTTTACGAAAATCTCACCCAATCTTACATTCAATTGGCACTAAAACTAAAAAGGCAATGAACAGTAATGTCTCACGTTAATTTTGGTAATTGTACCATCATTCACAATACTCCTAATGTCAGCGGTTTCATACAAAATTGGCAAAATTGCTTTAAAAGCCACTTTTTTTTACATAAAACAAAAGTGTCCGAACTGGCTCTGTCCTAATGGTTACTCATTCAGTGACCCGGCTAATCCCAGAGACTTTTAACACCCTCGGTATATCTTAGCGGCATCTTCAACTCGTTGCATGCATCAACGTCAAGAAATGTTGAAGGGACATGAAAAATACAAACGCTATTTCTTCTACATCGTAATAAGGAACATTTTTCCAGAAAATGTGTCTGTTTTTTTGGTTCGCTCTGAAATGCAAAACATAGCGAATTTCTTATTTTGCATCTAGACGCCTAAACGAAATAAAGTACTAGCATTAAGAATTTATATTTAAATACGATATAACACAACTGCTGTAAAAAACAAAACAAATAAGAAGACAATACTCCTCCTGCCCCAATCGGTCCCTACACATAAAATGAAAAAAAAGTATTTTGTCCACATTCCATCAGCCACATTATGTTCTGGGAGTGCATAATTTCCCTGGTAATGGTTCACAATAATCTATTTTTTGGCAACACGATATAACACTGCTGCATAGGTATTCGTGGACGTGCTGTACGGCTATCTGATGCCATTCCAGGCTTCAGTTCCTGGAGAAGCTGCCAGCACGTGGAGCGGAATCCTCTGGAGATGGTGTTGAAACAGCCTGCGGTGCGACACGTCGGACACAGCTACGACGCAACGATACGCGTTCACGCGCACACCACTCACGTGAACGACCGGTCGGCCAGCGCGTCGCAGAAACTCCGCAGTCGGCCGTGCATAAACGCCGCCGAGGACAGCGCAGCGTACAACGCGTTCACGGGGCCACCGTCTGCCCCACCGCGTCCATATTCCCGCAGCCGGCGCAGGACGCACGCCGTCACGTCGCAGCAGACGGACACGAAGGCGGTGCCTACTTCGCGCAGTGGGCCCTCGCGACCGGCAACGGCCAAAGGAAAGTAGAGTTCCAGCTCGTCCACTACGCCTGCACAGAACTGGGAAGGAAAGGACGGTCACAACGCGTTGCATTGCGTCCCTCGGAATGTACCGAGTTACAATGTGTCCGCATTCATTAAGGCCAAATTTAGCCCATCCATAGCTCGTAATTGTACATTTGAGCGCTCAACAATTCATATTAGATTAAAATACAAATTGTGTATGATGTGAATGCATAAGGTAGCTGAAATTAATTTTACAAATATTGTGAGAACTTTATTGTTCTGAACGTGGTGGTGGAGCAGAACTGCACTCTGCAATAGGACCAATCTATGGTTGCCTCGCATGTGAAGCTTTGGTACAATGCAGTTCATCAGGAACCGCTGGTGGATTTTGCACAATACACACTGCTTGAAACTAAGGGCTTTCCCTCCCCAAAGGCCTCCTTATATGCATGACAAAACAGATTCGGTCCAGGTAATTTGGGTACAAACTGGGCTCCCAGAACCAGAAGCAAAATAAATACATGCCACAGGCCAGGGCTTTCTAACTGTACCATTGTTGCTCTGTGGTTTTGTGTACAATTTTCGGATGATTTTCATGATGTACTAATGTAAAAGTGTCTTCGTGCTCCTAAACGTAACGCCTCTTATGACGGGAATACAAGTAGAAGTGAATTAGAAACGAACAAAAAATTCGGACCGTACAAAATTTTGTATCTAGGCCTCATTTTCAGACACTTAGGATTCATCTGAAAATGGGGAGTACATTTCTACGCTGAGACGAACTGCAGCACGAAGACTGCTCCGCATTTTAACGATTCATCAAACAAAATAGATTCGTGCACAGACGATGCACGCATCTAATCGAGCATGTGTTAATCAATTACTTATGATGTATGCAAATAGCATGTAAATGGTATGTTAAGGTTACCTTTATGCTCACTGAGTGAGCCAAGACTGTACGAGAAAGTGAAAAACAAGAAAACTTTTCAAGCGAGGTGGTAAAATAGCTCAAAAAAGGATAGCTTCTTACATAAATGTGTGGCCCTAAATTATGTTGAATCATCGGGGGGGGGGGAGGAGTTGAAATGTCAAGTAATGATGTCAAAGTTTGAATCTAGCAACAGTGATAGCAATGAGATATACAATCCCATAACGCATGATGATTTAATAAGCAAACGGTGAGAAGCAACTCTTTAGACAGCACAAGATGGGGTTGCATTTGCAGAAATTACAATAAATATAACCACATCTGACAATGCGATAACACCGGTGTTAAGAAAACGCAACAAATCACACTCATTATTTTTTACAGAGCTCTTTAAAGACATTTTTATATATATAATCACTTTCCCCTACATTGCTAATACAATCACAAAAATCATATTTTAAATTTTAATTACACCGCTCACGTCCGCTTTGACAAAATGCAATCGGCCGCGGCGCCAACGACTGTCAGAGAGTCCACGGCGCGTTCACAAAATCACCGCCGGCCACGGCGCGTCGCACGACCCACGGCGCTTGCCTCGAACACCACGCAGCGATGACTGCCCCCACCCTCCATCACGCCGGCGGACACCAGCGGAGAGGGGCCGCCGGCGGGCGACTTCTGTGACCACCTCCCCGTGATCTCCGCTCCTGTTTGCAGAAGGCTCCGAGCCATCGGACCAGAAAGGTCCTGGAAGAGAGTCTTCCATTCCCATTCCAGAGCCTGCAAATTATAGTGAACACAAAGTTCCCAATCTTGGGGGGGGGGGGGGGGCACGGCCAGCCAGCCATGGCCAGTTTATTTTCAAAGCATTCATTTCCGTTGTTCATTTTTAAAAAGGCGGATGCACCCTTCGCGGAGCAGCCTTGATGGGTGTCATAAGTCACAACCCTAATGTATCGGAGTCACCTCGTTTTGTTTTTCTTACATATTTCGCAAGGACGCTCACGCGCGCACACACACACACACAGCAGCTCAACACTGCTACCTTCAGTTCCGATTTAAGAATTGCTCTCTTTGCTCAAGGACTATTACACACGCCATATGCCAGCAGTGCGATACAGCATATGTGCAGAATTATTACGAGCGTAGTCGTCGATTGAATTTTAAATTGCAATAATTTATTACAGGCAAAAAATGTGTTTTATTTGTGATGTACAAATATTTAGGTGATGTAAAATTAAATGACAGTATGAAGATGAGATGCAAGTATAGCAGTTCACAAATAACGTTGTAAAAATCTAAACATTTACAGCAAACACATTTGAGCGAGATTATTTATCAAAAAGGTATGGAAATAAAAACGATCAATAGATGTTAAAGATCGATGATATACAGTGGATACATTTTCAGTAACATATGCAGTGGCGTTACTATATGTCAATTTACAAAATGCTTTAAAATGACAATACTAATTAACCATCTTGTTTGTATAATGCAGCAGCTGGGAAAACACTGCTTGTGAATTACAGCAGTCCTGATACACACCAAAACGTGATTAGGCTGATAAAAAAAACCAACCAACACTGTCAAAAGCTGCAAAGATGACCTTTATCACAGAATTCGTGCACTTGTTATATTAGCAAAAGCAATGTTAAATGCACCGCTACGCTCACACAATGCAATTAGCCACCACGACAAACCTGGATCAAGTTAAAGGTCATTATGGATCCCTGCCGCTGCAAATATCAAGTGCAGAGGTGTTACCTCTTGAATGTCAGCATGTTCATCTTTTCCTTGTTAACACACATGTGTGTTTTACCTGTGTCTAAAGCGTAATGCCCCTGTGTGTGCACTGTCGACTCATTCTGCATGACCAATTCCCCACGTGTTAAATAGCAGCACTCACTCTGCCAGCCTCTCTTTCATGTGCATTGCATACGACAGCAGGGAGGGTGTTAAAAAAACTTCTATATTTCAATATCGACCCTAAAAGGCTTCATTAATGTTGAGATAAAATCGTCGAATTTTTGCTTTGCTTGAGACAGCGTAGGAATAACTTGGATAATGAGCATCACACCTCCTCCCCTACTCATATCTCACTTCACGTGTATTGCACCACTACAGGGCAATACACATACAGCGCTATACGTTGAATTTCATCATCATCATCAACCGTGACCTATCCACTGCTGGATGAAGGCCTCGCTTAAGCCATCACCAACTCTCATGGTCTCGCGATGAGTTTCACAACATTTGTGCGATTCATCAACGCTCGCCTGCACAGTGCTCGATGACATACATTGCGCCGCCACCACTGCCCGGCTAATACCAACGCAACGTACGCAAATGCAGCGCGCGGTGGCCCCATTACCTGAGACGTGCCCGGCTTCTTCTTCGAGTGTGGTTCTGGAGAAACGAGTCCTGGGCTGCCTTTCTTGAGTGGGCCTGCTCGTCGGAGGAGGACACATGACCCATTACCGACTGCAAAGCACAGTGATGAACCACGGCGCATGTGGCTCTGTAAACAGGAGGCTGACTGCACGCTACGGGATATAATTTTGCATGAATGATGTGTAAAATGAAAGTATGAACCCTGTCAAGCTGTTTTTATACGTGTAAGTAGATCACGTGACTAAACTACACTGACCAGAGTTAGAATACAGGTTATCAACACACATGTACACGTACAGCCCAAATGATGAGGGCCTCCCCAAGCTATGCAAGTCGTGGAGGTTATTTGACGATACATCGCCATGTATGTATGTTGAACTTCTTTTGCACCGTATGTAGGGAGGGTCAAAGACGTTGCAACATAGTACAGTGAATGTTATCGAAGCTGACACGTATTTTGTTTGGTCAATTCGGGAGGCATGAATTCCAAACACTGGATGTTAATAGCAATAAGGGTGACAATTATTTACCGAGGAAAGACACCGGGAATCTCACAACTCTTGTTCAAGACTCCTTCAGGAGGGTCCTGAATTGGGAAGTACTTGCACTGACCTAAGGATCCAGCATTAACCCAATACACTCGTGAGAAATATTCACCAACCCACATTGAGCAGTGTTGTAAAACGGTCACACATATTTTCCCCAATGGTAGTGCACAGAGATGGAGACAGCTTCAGGAGGAATGTATCCAGCAGTCGACTGATCGTGGCTCATGACAATGAAAACTTTGGAGAAAAGGGTTGGCTCCTCACCTCACCACGTGTGGTCGTCATAACTGAGAGCAGCTCACTAACAGCACTCAAAAATATACATACATAACATCCCTCACCTTCGTTGACACCACCACTGCTAGCCGGGGCAGACCATGCTAATTCCCTTAGTCGCTTGTCCATCTTGAGCAGACTTGACATCACCCGGGTCAGCTGGGAAAGCGTGTCTTGTGCCAGCATTGCAGATTCATCTGTCATAACAATGAGACATTCAGTTGAAAAATGTCCTATTTTTGTTGTGCGGCATCATGCAGTTTAATCGCATGAACAATAAATTAACGGTCCCAAATCCCGCAGAGTTATTTAACCGCACGCGTAACGCAAGCTGAGCACTGCACGGCAATGTACCTTGGCGACACAGATTGAAGGGTTAATAAAAAAAAAATGACATACCCACTGTGTTTCTCTTTCCCTTTGGCCTCCTGCCATCCTTGCATGCAGGGCCATCTGGCAGCAGCAGCAATGGCTGCCCCAATGCTCCCTCCAGCTCCTCCTCAATCTCTTCCAGGAACACCTCTTGGAGAAACCGGGACGCCACCTCGCAACCCGCCACGCCACCAACAGCCGCATGGTCTTCCACCATCAACATGCAGATCTGGGGAACAGCCTCCGCCAGTGACAGCGCAAAACTCCCCAGGTTAACGGCGCCCCGGCTTTCAAACTCTTTGGCCGGATTCATTCCACACCGCCGCAGCATGTCCTGCAGCTGTTTGGCACGCATGGCCTTGTATTTGGGCAAAAATTCGTCCGGTGGGTAGAGGAACGCCAAGCTCTGCAGGCAGCGCAATCGGGTTAAGTGTTGTGCCCTGGCGGAGCCCGTGGCTGCCGAGATGGCAGCCAGCCTGCGTAGGAGGTGCGTGCGGAGGTGCAGCCGCGTGCTCTCCCACAGCGACTGCACGTCCAGTGCGGACGTGTCCTCGGCGGCGTTGAGAGACGCCAGCGAGGAGAACTGGAAGGTGGTGCCGCTGGGGTGGGAAGGGAAGAGCACTCCCGAGCGAGACGAGATCTCTAGCAGGAGCTGCAGAATCTCGTCGTCGAGGCCCTGCTCCGAGCGGAGCATGCGCAGCTGCGTGACAAAAAACACAGAGCGACGTGACGGTCAGAACTCCCGCTGATGGGCAGAAGACCATCACCGGCACGTCCTCAGCCATCACATTAGATCAAGGGTCGGCAACCAAAATAACAATAAGAGACATTTTTTGCGAATTCGGTATTTTAAGAGCCGCAATGCATGTGAATGACATCACGAAGCAGTCCTTAAAGAGGCGCATGCAGCTCTGGAGCTGCAGGTTGCTGACCCCTGCATTAGATCGACCGCACCCAGAGTGGGTAGTTAAAGGACACATGCACAATATGACACACTTATGACCAAATGGCCAGAATTAGCCCGCTCTCAGTGAATCTCAGGAAATAAGCAGGGATGAGCCTGGACAGCACAGGGTGTGTATTTTAAAAGTATACCCAAGTAACCAATATACCCAATATATTACGTAAACATATTGGAGATACTTTCAAAATACACACCATGTATCGATTTAAAGCTTTCGTGACTGCAATGATTCATCTTCTTTGGTTCTTTCGGTAAAGTCACGTAGAATATTGTGTTATTTTATTTTATCAATTTATTATTTTATTCTCATTCTACGTGACTTTACCGAAAGAACCAAAGAAGACACACCATGTACTTTGACGGGTGACAACAATGCACAGACAAGTAGTCATAAGGCTGTGGGGCTCCTTGGTTGATAGCAGTAAAATACATTGTTGCAGTGAACTGTTATGCTGCCACATCTATGCTGCCCGTCTTCACCAACCCACACTGACCATAGTGGTGAAGTATAGTAAAATAACCCTCACGACGCACGTGGCATGGGGAGGCCCGCATCCAGCAGTAGATGGACAAAAAGGGCTGTACAAATTCATAGTTGTACCAACTATGGTGTTTGTGTAATATATACAGGTAAACACACAAAGCATTTTTTTCAGAATTAGATATTTAAAAGCCAAAAGAAGCAGGTGTTACTAGTTTTGAAAATTCCTATGCTTGGGTGTTTAAAACAGAATGGGATTCGTCATCATCATTGTCCATTTATTGATTTTAAAAATGCTAACTATTTTTTACCCACATTTAGCCTCAACGGAGTCTCCAGACTTTTTCAGGAGGGTCCCATATTAAGCCAATTTCATGAATTCGTTTTTAGGCTGCATGTGAGAGGAAACTGGAGTATCCAGTAAAAACAGGTCCCTGCAGGGTGGGCTGGTAGGAACATTGGAATTTTGCGCAATTTTATGACATTGTTACTTCCAAATGTTGGGTGCAATAAGACATATCAAGTCTCTGCGCTGTCTATTGCTGATTTTACACCCAACAGCACAAGATTTCACTTCGTTAAAGTATTGAAAGGGGACGGACGGACACATTAATCTATTGCAGGCTGGTACACTCAGTTTACAACTTCGTTCCTACCAGTAAAAAAACCCATGGACACATGCCATCTCATGGTCTCCTCACGGCCATTGAGACATTTTTTTTCACATGGTGTACAATAATTCATGTTTCTCTGAGTACAGGACCAGCTTTAAGAACTTGCAAATCAAAACTGTACGATGTAACTGTTACTGTGGCAACTATCATAATGGGCTCTTTGTTTACTGATGTGCAATTTCAACATCATGTTGTTGCACATGCCCAAGCTATTGTAAATAAACAGATTGCTCTCCACTGAAGAGTAAGAGCATGATTTTGGACAAGGTAGAGAATGCATACATTATTAATGGAGATTAATATTTCACTCATAATCAAATTACTCTAGTTAATGTTTGAAATGATTAGCGATCCTTCATATTGAGAAGCCCCCACAACTAATAAATGTCTGATGACTACGATATTACATGCCCTTGACCCAAGCTAAATATTAAATTACTGTGCTAATAATTAAAAGTTTTACTGGCACTTATGAATTCCTAAAAAGTAAATATAGTAAATAAATAAATGAACAAAACATGTTAGCCCTTTTTCAATCCAATGGTGCATGAAAGCCTCCCCACACCATGTCAGCCATGGGGATTGTTCGACCATACTTCTACATGATGTTAGATAAAGGATGGTGAAGTGGGTACCCAGGACTGGTTAAGATATCACTCGCCGATTATGTCGGCCGTGGCCGGGAATCAAACTCGGCTAGCCGGGTTCGGAGTGTAGTGTCAAAAACCAATGTGCCACCACTCCACACCCCACAGCAATTTTTCAAAGTTATTATTTCCACCGTGGTTTCCTACCTCGCGGAAATGCGATTCGGTGCTGCCTGTACTGCAATTCACTGTACTAACTTTGCACTATTTTTTTTATAAATTACAGTGCAGTGGATCCAAAGGTCATCAGTTCAATACGCAGCACGGCAGTTGCAATGGGCCAGAGTTTTCAATCCACTGACCTCTGTTGACCCCCGCAGCATAAATATGTACACAACAATTAGTAGATCAACGGGTCGTGTGTGGTGGGGTACAATGTGGGTACTCCCAGCTTTTCCAAGACGTACCGGCCAATGTGAAAGAGTAGGCCAAAGTACTCTCTGGTGGGCTCCCTTCGTACGTATGTTGAACTTCTTTCACACCGTACGTAGCCAACCATGCTATTCGGAGGTGTGGGGGGAAGGATAACAAACTAAACACCTTCAGCGGTATTGTACGAAACTGCAGTGGCACCTGTATGTAAATTGCAGGCCTGCACCTTTATATTTATTACAGGGCCAGTGCAAAATGCACACAGACATTCACGCTTGGCGCCAACGGGTAACTGTGTTTCAATGAGATATCTCTCCGCAAGTTGCACGCACTATTTCGCTCAGGAAGCGTACGACTTCGGGCTGCGGCGTCTGGGAGGGCCACAGCGATCCCATGTCCTTGCGGGCAAGCCAGGCCAGCTGCTCGGCCGCCCTGGCGGGAGGCTCGTCTCCTGGAAACGCAGCGCTCAACTCCGCTCCCATCTCCTCCAGCCCTCGCTCAATCCTGCGGTGACACAGAAAGACAAAGATTCCCCCGTAAAGCCTTTAACAGACTGTTGGGGCAAGTGCTTTTAGCGAGCACCTATGATGGCCGGAATGGCACACAAGGGGGTGGGTGGCCAGCATCACGCCCGGGGAGGCCCAGGACCAGTTAAGATAATCGTCACTGGTGTTGGCCGTGATCGGGATTCGAACCAAGGTCGCCGGATTCGTAGCACAGCAAGTCAACCGCTACGCTATCCGCTCGTACACATACATACACACACATTCCTCGCACTCAGCAGAGGATCACCAGCTCTGAGCACTCGCCCCAACAAAAAATTGGACAGCGATGCTGAACGGCGATATAGATGCAACGGAGTTGCTACCAAGTGTGCAGGCAGTGCAACTGCACCAAGGCCCGCGGCCAGAGGGACCCAGATTCTGGGATACTAAGAGGGGGGTACGTGTGGGCGAGTGGTGGACGGGGAGTGGGAGGGTGGGGGGAATTTAATGCCAACCAAGCCACACCACTGATGATATAAATGCACAGCTATTTTGTAAAATGCTGCTCTTGCTTTTATTGCAGTGCTTAAAAAACACAATACAGCAATCAAGGCTGTTCAGACACCATATCACCTCCAACCATTATGTAGGAATTTGCTTAATTCTTTGCAGGTGAACAGAGATGCTGCATTACATAAAAAAAATTAGCACCCAGCACAGGATGGTTTTCAGTCATCGCGAGCAACACAAATGTACCAATTCTCCATAACCGAACCCTTGCCCAAGCTGCAACGATCCAATTGAAAGACATAAAAAAATGACAGGCTAATTATAGTAAGGTTGAAAAACCTAGCACATTGATTATTTAAAAGTTCAACCAAAAGGTCTACATCAAGGCATTTAGGTAATGATCATATGCTTTGGTACAGTCTTACCTCACGCTTTGACATGCTTTTACATTCGCTGTATTTTGTCATTGCCATTGCTTCCAAATGCATGGTATAAAATAAAAAAAAAACATTGTCTTGTTAACGATGATGCAAGGTGAATTTGATGTAACGTACATTTAATCTAGATTGTTACACCAGTGCTATATTAGACAACTGTGTTTTATTCGCAAATAGCATAGTATAGTTCATTGGTTCCTAACCTGCGGTCTGTGGGCCACTGGTGGACTGCAAGGCCATGGGAAGTGGTCTGCGGAACTGTTGCAGATACTAGGATTTTTTGTTCACATAGCACCGTATCCTTTACCGCATGTTGGTCCATGAAATTTATTTATTTTTCGAGTGGACAGCGGGTCCACTGGTTCAGCAACATAGGGAACCACATATCTAATTCATATGCATCAATCACAACAATAAAAAATACTCAATCGTAAAAAACACAATACTAAGTTAGAGCTGATAAATATCCTATACTGGCCTATCACTAAGCATCTCTTAAAATATATGAAGCGGTACTGGGATATGTTTAAGGATTCATATGTATGCACAATGCTCAATGCATAACAAACACAAATTTAATTATGGCGATTGATATTCAATACCACTTGCAGTATTGTACACAACATTCCATAACAAACCGTATGTTTTGCCATGTGCCAATTGGAATTGTAAGTTGTATAACCAGTGCTATACAAGAATAATACATGAATAATTAATAGTTTACATTACACAACATAAGGCATCGGGAGCACCATAAATGAAAACTGACTCAGTCTATTACGTCAACTTTATAAAATATACAAGAACTGATAAAAAGCAGATGGTTGTCTTATTGAAATATAAATATTCGAATTCGACGCACAATACAACGTTACCAATATTTATTCAGAACTCAATTTTTTAAAGATGTAATTAAACACAGTATATGTTTACGTCAACAACCTGCCAGGAAATATTCCCAATAATTGCCATAATAAGTACAATATTGAAACAAAGTGTCATGTTTATGCGCGTCGATGTTGTATGTACGCATATATGTTAAATATTTTAAGTATTCTAATAAATAATAAAGGAACCTATGGGGAAAGACACAAAGACCCGTTTCATATGGAGATGCTAAGAAGCTCAGGCATTAAACAAAATGTACGATGAACTTAAGCCATTATATTCATTAAAGTTCTGAGCACTATACATAAGAGTTTCATCCTTTGATGATTAAGATATAAATAGGACAAATTCAGCCTAATAATGTGCAGCACTCACATGTCTCAGTAACACACCCTGTAACTAGACTGAAGATTCTTCAACATTAGGAGCTCGCATTCTCAAAGTCTGAACAAACTTCAAAGCTACATTTGGAGAGGAAGATGTGATATTTCAACACCCACTGTTATCCGACATGCGGTTAATTTACAACTTCTGCTCCGGATTATTGCAGGCAGGCTACATCTGCTTCATTCTAGAGAGATGATGAGCAAGTCCATGCGCCACACGAAGTTAATGGTCTAAAAAAATTTAAAGGCGCTTTTGAACCACTGTAATTGACAACCCGATAAAAGACAAAAAAAGCCTATGGATAGATAATTAAGTTTATGTACTGTATATGTATTTATTTCTTAACACCAAAATAATTTGAGTTTTCATGTGTTAATTAACCTGGACGCCTACACAGAAGGATTAATAGGAACGCTTTGTAGCAGCTAACAAGGAGGGCCCAATGTCCTTATGAATTGTTTTATGAAGGTCATAGCTTAGAAACCCGAATGGAGCTGCCCTAGGTGTTTAAAATAATTGGCTGCGGATAGCGGTGCCGCATTACTGTGCAATAATCAGCAGATATTTCCAGGCTCTGTCCTGCCTATTTCCAATTTATGAGAACGTTTGTTAATTTTACAAAACAGGCCAACAACAGATAACACTGTTGACACAATTTCTGGTGGCATACTTAAAGTTACAATGCGTACAGGACTTGTCATTATGCATAACGCGGGGGGGGGGGGGGTGGCTATTGAATTTCACACCCAATCAACTTGGTGTCAAATCAGCGCTTGAATGGGAATTAGTTGTCACTGCTGGGAGGTAAAGATGCAAAGTGTCATTTTTATTGCGTATTCCCTTGTGAGCACTGAAGAAATCTCAAACGTACAATCCTAATTAAACACCACCGATGGCACATTTTAACCGCTTGGCTTAAATAGCTATTTGGAATTCGCGTGAATATACATACACAACTCTCCTTTTAAAATGTAAGGTTTTATAAGAAAAAAAAGTTTGGTTATAGCCAAAATGGAAAGGCACTGCTTTTGATTGCGAGTCACAACTTAGAAATCCCAATACAGCAACTGCTTCCATTTACAGTTTGATGGCAATGGACAAATATTTTAAAAATCATATAAGCATATTCAAATATTCTTTGGTGCTAAACTGGAAAGATGTGATGGCACAATATGATTGTGGGAAGCCCTTTGATATATGGCACATACATATCCTTCATATGCTTTAGTCACATGTCAGGAGAGCAAATCAGCAGTGCCAGGGCCAATAAGATGAATCAGCCATATTATTTGGTCAAGGGTCAAACTTATTCACAATTTCGACCACGTTTGCATAATATACAAATCATAAGCTTTAAAATGACTAATTCAACAACATTAGTGGAGCGGTCTGGGAGTTCCTTGGACATACATACAAAATGACAAACATACCGTTAATCCATAATTAAGGTTTTTGGGTTAGATCGCGTAAGTATCTTAACCCTCTACCACCCGACACAGCCAGTAAGGTTTGTCACGTAAACAACGCGCCAATTAGTTAGTCCTTCAGAGTAAATCCACAACATTGATTATCTGTCAAAGGATTATTCAGGTTGCGGATTAACCAATAACCATGCTTGCGAAAAATAATGAATAAATGATACGCAAGCTGGTCTATTAGCTGCTTCTCACTCATCAACAGTCCGTGACTCAGTGGCCACATGACCAAAACCTGTCGGCGAGTAAACCGATTACTTTAAGCAATGAAAACAGACGACACATTCTTCACCCCAATTATATATATGTAAACAATATCCTAATTTGCCGATTTGGCATGTTTAGCATTTTTGTGTTCATCCGGGCCACCCATCTCCCCCCATTACACGGGAGACTAGAGTTAATTGTCCGTACTGAAAATTAAAGATGAGCCACAGGAGTGAGATTGTAGCCATGCAATAATCCAAACTATGGACCGTATAGTAAACTCACTGTCGCCTGTGCTAATTCAATGGAGGCGGGATAGTAAAACTACATACAAAACCTTGCTGTCATGGCAGGCAGGCCTCGGACATTGGTATCTAGTTCCTACACATATTGCCATCGTTCGCAAGAATAGAATAGCCGTTTACATAGACGTAGAACATGTCATGAGTTATCACACTCACATGTGTGCGTTTTCTTTGAGTTCAGTGTTGAGGTGCTCCAATAGCTCTTGCAACTCTTGCTCTCCCGTGTTCTCATGGAGGACGGACAAGACTTTGTGCAGCACGCAGGGATCTCCAAATCCCTCCATCGCGGACTACACAATCAGTGCAGGACTTAGCTGCAAACAACCTGCAGGTGTAACATTTGAATACAATGTCATGCAATTGTGGACGATGAGAGCTCGAGTTAAAGACCTTCAGTTTAAAAGTCGCACTAGTTAGTGCATGTTTTCATGTAATTGGAATATTCGTCATACTTGATTGTAATATAATGTACAGCCCTTTGCCGTGGTCATCAGGGTTGTTTTACCATACTTCACCACGCTGGTCAGTGCGGGTTAGTGAATGAGTGAGGGGTACCCAGGACTACTTCAGATATAAAATTGCCAACGACGTTATCAGTGGCCAAGAATCAAACTCGGGTCGTGTGGTTTGCAGCGCAGTGCACTTATACCATTCTACATCATAAAAGTGCGATAATAAAAAAAGCACTGGCAATTGATTAAATTACCGAGTAAGTGAGCTCGTGAGTTTTCATGTATTTACACGGGCAATTGGCAATAGCATGCAGTTTTCATAGAGCTTGTCACATGCAATTGCATTGCTCTCCAGAGTAAACTTTACACATCCCAATGCCTAACAGTAAGCTCGGAATTATAAGGTTTGATATAATCCTTGGTGGGAGCGGTGGCTGTAAATCGGTTGGCTCACTGAACCCTAACAGAGGTGTTCGATTCCTGGCCACAGCTAACATCACCAGGCCACGCTCACCGGCGTGGTTAGAGCATTGGTCAAACAACTCCATAGCCACGTAAGGCGGCCTTCATTCAGCAATAAAGGGCTGTAAGTTATTCATCATAACAATCACGTTCTGCGCCACAAAGCTATCTGTAATTGATTATGTTTATATAAGAACTATCTTTTTTGCCCGTCCAAGGATGGGTGTAAATATTCAATAGAAAAATTGTTCATGTCATGATTATTAATAGGAGGGGGGGGGGTTGCCCCATGTGGAGTGACGTCACCCGCTAATGGTTCTTGTGGAGGGGTGCGGCATGTGGAGTGACGTCACCCGCTCATGATTATTAATGAGGGGAGGGGTGCGGCATGTGGAGTGTGCTACCTCTTTGTGCGTTAGTGTACATTTCCACGCGGGCATGAATATTAATGAAGGGGGGGGGCTCTTTTGCAGTGACGTCACGTACGGATGTAGCATTGTGCTGCGTATATTTAGTTTTTACCGTCACTTTGTGTAAAGAAACGTCATATTTGAAGCGAATTTGCGTAATAAATTATTTATTTCTGCTCAACCTTCCTCTGTGTAAGTGTAAAAATCATCCCACTTATGAATATTAATGAGGGGGGGGTGGCCCTCATGTGGAGTGACGTCACGCGGGGGGGTGGGCCTCATGTGAGGTGACGTCACGCACGGGACACACATTCTTGGCTCATTATTACTACTATAATAGCCCAGAAATGTGTAACGCGCGTGACGTCACTTCACATGCCCTTCCCCCCCGTCATTTTTTTTCGCAAAGTCGCTTCAAATATAACGTTTCTTTACAGAAAGTGACGGTCAAAAAATAAATCTACGCAGCAACCAAGTGCTTTTGCTGTCTTTATGTATTTCTTCAGCACTGGAAACAAAAGGCAAGTCAAATTTTTGGTTTTAAGTTATGATAATATATTCATTTCTCCATGATTTTCGAGATATTGCATCACATTTATTTCAACCCCAGCGAGTGAAAGCAGAAGAAAATAAAGTATTAGAGCAGTGATTTTTTACTAATTGAAGGTCAGTTAAACAGTGCTACAGTGACATTAAGTGAAGTGTTCAAAATATCGTATACCGATAAATCTTCTAAAATCCTTCATTTCATTTTTTAAGTTAAGAAAATGTTATTGTAAATCTTTAATATTACAGCTCCCGTCCTAGGACGGACAAAAGGCGCGTATATTAGAATTGGAAAGAATTGCACACACGTCATAGCCGGCACACACAGCCCTGCCATAGCAGGCACTCACATCCCTGCCATAGCCGGCACTCACAGCCCTGCCATAGCCGGCACTCACATCCCTGCCATAGCCGGCACTCACTGCCATAGCCGGCACACACATCCCTGCCATAGCCGGCACTCACTGCCATAGCCGGCACACACATCCCTGCCATAGCCGGCACTCACTGCCATAGCCGGCACACACATCCCTGCCATAGCCGGCACTCACTGCCATAGCAGGCACTCACAGCCCTGCCATAGCCGGCACACACAGCCCTGCCATAGCCGGCACACACATCCCTGCCATAGCCGGCACTCACTGCCATAGCAGGCACACACAGCCCTGCCATAGCCGGCACACACAGCCCTGCCATAGCCGGCACACACAGCCCTGCCATAGCCGGCACACAGCCCTGCCATAGCCGGCACTCACAGCCCTGCCATAACCGGCACACACAGCCCTGCCATAGCCGGCACTCACTGCCATAGCCGGCACACACATCCCTGCCATAGCCGGCAGACACAGCCCTGCCATAGCCGGCACTCACAGCCCCGCCATAACCGGCACACACAGCCCTGCCATAGCCGGCACTCACTGCCATAGCCGGCACACACATCCCTGCCATAGCCGGCACACACAGCCCTGCCATAGCCGGCACTCACTGCCATAGCCGGCACACACATCCCTGCCATAGCCGGCACTCACTGCCATAGCCGGCACACACATCCCTGCCATAGCCGGCACTCACTGCCATAGCCGGCACACATCCCTGCCATAGCCGGCACTCACTGCCATAGCAGGCACTCACAGCCCTGCCATAGCCGGCACACACAGCCCTGCCATAGCCGGCACACACATCCCTGCCATAGCCGGCACTCACTGCCATATCAGGCACACACAGCCCTGCCATAGCCGGCACACACAGCCCTGCCATAGCCGGCACACACAGCCCTGCCATAGCCGGCACACAGCCCTGCCATAGCCGGCACTCACAGCCCTGCCATAACCGGCACACACAGCCCTGCCATAGCCGGCACTCACTGCCATAGCCGGCACACACATCCCTGCCATAGCCGGCAGACACAGCCCTGCCATAGCCGGCACTCACAGCCCCGCCATAACCGGCACACACAGCCCTGCCATAGCCGGCACTCACTGCCATAGCCGGCACACACATCCCTGCCATAGCCGGCACACACAGCCCTGCCATAGCCGGCACTCACTGCCATAGCCGGCACACACAGCCCTGCCATAGCCGGCACTCACTGCCCTGCCATAGCCGGCACACACAGCCCCGCCATAGCCGGCACACAGCCCCGCCATAGCCGGCACACAGAGCCCTGCCATAGCCCGCAGACACAGCCCTGCCATAGCCAGCACACACAGCCCAGCCATAGCCGGGCAACACAGCCCCGCCATAGCCAGCACACACAGCCCCGCCATAGCCAGCACACACAGCCCCGCCATAGCCAGCACACACAGCCCCGCCAAAGCCAGCACACAGAGCCCCGCCATAGCCGGCACACAGAGTCCCGTCATAGCCAGCACACACAGCCCTGCCATAGCCAGCACACAGAGCCCTGCCATAGCCGGCACACAGAGCCCCGTGATAGCCGGCACACAGAGCCCTGCCATCGGCATTACCTCCACGGGTCTCCGCGTCTCCGTTACCCTGGGTTATGGTGGGGGGCGTGGGGACGACGACGATGCGCAACAACCACGCGGAGGGGACGAGCGACGGCCATATTTCTATGGGAACCTTACACACCCCTCCATATTGCTACCGGCGGGGGGACCATCGCCGTCACGTGACGTCGCTTTGGCCACACGCCAGCCAAGCACGCGCGCGTTTCCCCACGCAATATGGCCGCTTGCGGGGCCTCACGGGCGATGACGTCGCGAGTGTCGTGCGTCTCTAGAATATTTTTCAATCTTGATTTGAAGCTTTCGTGACTGCATGAATCCATACTCTTTGGTTCTTTCGGTATAATCGTGAGCCATGCGGCTCTTGACTCGGGTGCAACCGCAACAAAACAAAAACATGAACAAAGAATATCTTAAAATGACTACGCGCAACAGAAAAATCCAGGAAAAAACAGCAAAGTATTCCAGAAAAAAACACCGTATATCAACGCTGTGTGCAAAAATCCCAGTGGGATAAAAGTCAAACAATAACCAAAGACAATTTAAAGTTATCAGGCTAACTCTGTACTTCAAACAAACATGGCTAAACCATACCAAAATAAAGCTATAAAAACAATGTAACAGTGATCATAGGAACTGATTGGAGGAATCCAATGAGATATAAAGCTCTTTTTTTGCACACGTATCCAAAAACACGAGAGGGAGTTCCGAGTATAGGAGATGTAAACAAATCACGTAAGGCCCACCGAGGCATTTAATACATTTTCAGAAGCCACCTCGCCACTAATAATATCTCAACAGTGGCTTAGGGGCCGTACATAAATAACGTCACGCGATTTTGGACGATTTTTTACCCCCCCCCCCCTAGTTACACGGTGTCACAAAAAGTCAGACCCCCCCCCTCAAATATGACGTCACAAAACTCTGCCCCCCCCCAAAAAATATATAAAACATGCTTCAAATCGCTTTAAACGTGTCTATTTGAAGTTTTGATGTGACGTCACATTTCGCACCCCCCCTCGTCACACAATCGTCACGAATGTCTGACCACCCCCCCCTCCCAGGTGCGTGACGTCATTTATGGACGGCCCCCAAACAACATTTATAACAAACGTGCATTTACATTTCCTAGCGCGCTCGCACGCCGAACGTCGCTTCAAACGCGCTCCAATTGGTCAAAGCCGAACATTAAACCCGCGACGCGATTGGCTGATCTGGCCCCGCCCCTTTCCCGAGTCTAATCCGGTCTGCGATTTCCCAATGCGGCTGACGTCACCGGATACGAGTTGACCCCCAATGGGCGACGTCAACCGGCGGCTTTTGAAGTTCGCGGCGCGTGCGGTGTGGTGGTGTGTGTGGGCAACTCCACGGTACGCTTCGCCGGAAATCGATTACTTTTGTGCGTCTCGTTAACATGCGCCGGACGGGGCCTAGTTCCAACGCGCGCTGTTGCTCAGCCAGGGCGGGGGGGGGGGGGTCGTGCGCGGTTTGTTATTAAACCCGTTGGGGTGCGTGTGTACCGATTAACGGAAAAGTACAGCGATTCATTGATAATGCTCTGAAAAAAAAACGAATGATACGGCGAACGGAATAAAATATCAAATGTGTATTGAATGTTGAGACAGAACCGGTCCACATTTCAGCACAATCACGCACGTTGACTTGGTCTATACGATATGCTTGTGTGCGTGGAAGGGCCCCAGAGTTGAGATGGGCAAATCCCCCGCTTCATCCAGAACTAACTTCACTACCAGGCTTCGCCCGGGACTTGGATTCTTGTCTTTGATTAATAACACGGCCGACGCGGAGGGTGGGGGGGGGATGACGTCATGAGGCACACTGCGTGACGCTGCGGGTGACATCACAGATGTGACGTCACCGCTCACTTGCCGTGCAATATATTATATTCAAAACCACGGTGCTATGCTTCTCACCAGGACTATAAAGCAGGAAGTTATTTTTCTCCAATTACATTCCTTAAATAATTATCAAATAGAGCAAGTCAAGATCTATAAGTATCTTGGGGTCATCCTGGATTCAAAACTGAATTTTGAAGATCACATTGATTGTATTGGTAAAAAGACAAAAATAAAAATTGGTTTTCTGTATCGACACAAGCACTGCTTCCCCCCAATGTTCCGTTTGGAATTGATAAAAGCTACCATACTGCCTCTACTTGACTACTGTGACATCGTGTATAAATCAGCCCTAAGTACTGTACTGAAGAAGCTTGATTCCATCTATCACTCGGCCTTAAGATTTACATTGAACTGCCCATATGGGACTCACCACTGTGATCTCTACATTGGGTCAAACTTAACATATCTTAATGTTCGACGGCTTGTGCACCAGATCTTATTTATTCACGATGTACTTACAAAAAAATCCGCAGACTACCTGCTGGATCTCCTCTCTGTTTCAAAGAACAAATTTGACCTCAGGTCTTCGCTCATTTACCAGTTTCACATTCCCTATTGCCTACAAAAACTGGAGGAAGGGCCTTTGCTATTGATGCCCCCAGGTCTGGAATGCTATTGCTAATAAACTGCAACTTGAATCGTTACCAATGAGATCTTCTCTCAAAACTGCTCGAGAGGAGTTGTACACCCTTAGCTGCCACTGCTATTCATTGGCGTAAAATAAAATAAAATGTTTCGCTCCGGATGACGCTGCAAAGTATTATCTGTATTTTGATTTAGCTTGCTGATCTTAAAGGTGCATTGAAAAATGTGATACCCCGACTGATGCTTCTCTTGTTGTGGAGTAACTCATGCAGCCAGCTATGGCTCTAGGATTTGGTGTTACATGTTATTTATGTAGTTTATTGTAAAAATTCGGTCACAGTCCCTATGATCACTGTTACGTTGCAATTATGGCTTTATGTTTTGGTGATTTAGAAAACTTTTTTGGTTTTGACATGTTTGTTTTGTTGTAGTACGGAGTTGGACTGATGGCCTTAATCAAAGTTTTCTTGTGGTTGTTGTTGTTGTTTGACTTGCATCCCACAGGGCTATACCAAAATAAATGAAACTGAACTGATATCCATTATACTGGTAGGAACCTCCTAGTTACACCAGCCCACAGGGGACTATTGTGTCCGTCCGTCGTGCATCCAAAAATGGGAGGGGTGGGGCTGGGTGGAGAGGGGATGGTGGGGAGGGGCTGGGTGGGGAGGGGCTGGGTGAGGAGGGTGGGGCTAGGTGGGGGTTAGGAGGGGTGGGGCTGGGTGGGGAGGGGCAGGTCACCCCGTGGTGCCCTTATAAAACTCAACATTTAACCTCCTCACGCCGGCTTGTGCCTGCCCTCACAGTCGGGCATATTTGCAGAATACACCACGTGGTGCCACCGTTGGCCCTGGCCATTGACCGAGCAACCCAACGTTCCTACCAGCTCCCTCCGCAGGAATGTGTTACATAAAACTTTGTCAATTCACGTAATTATCACACGCCAACCTCCGTCGCCAAACTACGGATGTTTATATTGCAATTAGTGCGCTGTAAGTTATTCATCGTTACAATCACGTTCTGAGCCACAAAGCTACATGTAATTGATGTTTATATAAGAATTGGAAATAAATCCGCACACGTCATAGCCAGCTCACGCATCCCTGCCATAGCTGGCTCACGCATCCCTGCCATAGCTGGCTCACGCATCCCTGCCATAGCCGGCTCTGAGTAGACGTTCAGGAGGGTCCTGCCAGATTTTACAGTTGAGATATATATTTTAAAATCAACCATATAATCTTACATACATAGACAGAGCAAACATGTAGGGTGGTAATTTGTCATTTGCATAGATGATGAACACGTGCCTTAATATACGATGTTTTTGTAACGTTGATCCTGCCACAGTGCTTTGGTTGTTACCCCTTCCGTGCATGGCAGGTGTTATAGGCTTGCAGAGACTATGTGTCTGCAGAGGGCCGTGTAGCAAATTGTGATGCTGTCATGGTATGCTTCCACGTCTGTGCTGGCTGGCCTCGCCAACCCGTGCTGAGTAGCGTGGTAACGGCATGAGCAAATAATCCTCATGACCAGCACGGTGTGGGGAGGCACTCATCTAGCAGTGGATTGGCACGTACATTGATTTCAAAAACATGTATCTACCACACTGAGGATACGGTACATGTATACCTAATTTGCATTGCATGTCTCCATCGAAGTCTGTGCATCAATGATCACAGGATTGGCCTTTTCCCTAAACTCTATCACTGCAGAGCGTCCCGTTAGTTTTTTGCATTAATATCAGATGTTGCACACAGCCATGCTCCAGGCAGACAACATAGGCCAATGGGTGCCAGCAAAATTCTCAAAAGCAGGTGACCATTTACTCCCCTCACCCAGACGGATTACATGAATTAAGAAGGATCGATGGTTATGTCTTATTTTGTGGTTCTTTTTTTCCCATATCGTTTGAGTGTAATTTGTAAAAACGAAATAACGCTGAATAATTTCTGAGAGATTTCCATGCATGTACAGGAATTAAGTTTGATGCATCGATGTATCGTTATTAAAGTATGCTGTACCGAATACTCAGTGGTCTAGCATGGCGTAAGGAATGAAATGGGACCCCACCTGTCAGATTGCCCCATTCTTCGTTGACTGGCACCTTCGCTCTTCTGGCCCCCAGTACAATTGCACCACCCGCACACTGGGTAGCCACGCAGCTGGTAACTCATTACAGAAGGTAATTGGGAATCCCCACTTGGGATATTCAAATAAGCCTTACAGCAAGGAGGCAATGATTAAACTTACATTACCACTGATAATGTTTTGAAACTTTTTTTTGTAATGAGGATTAAAGAATAGACTTGCCATGTCCTTGACCCCTCCACCCGTTCAAATTGAAATCTTTGGATGCATAAGAATTCCCGTGTGATTGTCACGAGGATTCACTCTGTCAAGGTAGGCATTATCAAGTCTGATCATTTCAGGTGGGAATGAGACCACAAAAAGGACAATGAAACCGAATACTGTTCACCTGGTAGAACTGAATGTCTCACCTTCACCTAAAGCTTTATTGTTAAGTGTGAGACACACGCCAATTTTTTGTTTAATATTTGGTGTACTTTTTCACATTAGATTTATTTTCAAATCACTTCCCATAAATGCCTCTACCCCAATTGCAAGGTCCAGGAATATAGGACATGCACAGTCCCATAGACTCTTCCTGTTGATATGATAATTGATCCCAGGAATGTATTAGTAAGTATGTTATCCATTGACCTCACAAACACAATTCTTCCCATAATTCAATGTGCCACCGTCATATTATAATTGAACTTTAATACAAAT